ATTTAGATATATATAAATTTAGAAAATGTATTATTTATTACACATGCTTATGTAATAGGTAGTTAAATACTATTTAAATGGTGCTAGAACAAACTTACTGATTGTCATCTGCAATGTGATTTTCACATTGACTTTTGTAGGGTAGGTACTAAAATGTTAAATACTGTAACCTAAAATAAAGGTACATGAACAATACAATCCCTATGCCACCTGAAACACACAACTTCTTTTTGGCTAATATCGCGTCATGCATTTAATTATAACCAAAGAATAACAACAGATATAGGCTACTGAATATAGTTCTTACGAGACCCCTTATATTAACAGAAAGAAAACATTATCGCTTTTGTGATTGAAAGAAAATTCTGAAACACTTGCCTCTAATGTATTTTATACGTATTTCATTCTAACTCAAGAGGCAAAATGTTCATTATGTAATAGCTACTGGCCAATGACTGAATACCACCCCCGCATCGTAGATAGTCATGAATTTCATGACTGTTAGTTCTACGCGACGTATTAGTATTGTTTAAATTTGCCTGAACAAAGATAAGCGGCGTTTTTATATATTCAATGTAATACTTAGGTAGTTAATCACTTACTTTCATCTTGGGTTATTTCCAAACATAATTACAAACTAATTTGTAACATCCAATTAAAGTCCGATCCTGGACCTGCCTGCAGGGTGCTGTACTGCTGGATCCTTTGTAGTAGGTACCAGTACGGGGTATTCCAATTGAAAAAATATAATTTTATGTTGTATCCCGTGAAATCTACTCGCCATTTCGTTTTTTGATGTCATTTTAACAATACATAACCACACCTATTTAAAAATGTTGTCTGTGTATTTGATAATAACGTTGATAATGGGTGGATAATTTATAATTAATAACTTTGTATTGTATTCTGTTATATACTATTGATACTGATCTGTTTCTAAATCAGAGTAAAAAAATTAAAAATGAAGAAAAAAAAATTCTTTGTAACCACCGAGTTATTATTTTTATTGTTACCGTTTCGAAGTTAAAATTTCTTAATATGGGCAAATCATGGTATATTACAATATTCTCATATTTTAATGTTTTATATTTGATAATTCAAATAGTTTGTCATAGCATTTCCATTAACGGTTTAGCCTCTTCCGTATTCATTCATTTATGAGATAAAAGTCGTATAATTACCATTATTTATTTAAGCAATAAATATAAAAAATGTCCTAATTACTATTAGATGATTGTGTTGCCAATTAAAATAACATTTAACAAATACATAGTTTATATCGTGATAATTTCACAAGCTGATAGTTTATCGAAAAAAAAGGTACATTGTTCAATAAACTATAATTCAATATTGGTCTTTTTTTATGTACAGTGTACATACAGGGTTCAGGTATTCAGAGACGTGTTAGTTTTAATTGTTTCCTCGAAAACAAAGTAAGTACCGAAAAAAATTTTTAATACAAAAAGTATTTTTAGTTAGTTTATTTATAAAATTATGAGAAATTCAAAAAATCTACTGAGCGATATTTTTTTTGCTGAAAACTAATCGAAGTGCTGGAATTACTGGATCAACTGTAACATGTTCGAAAGATACTTGAGAAAGTTGTCAACAAGCTGTGAAAATTTCATTAAAATCGGTCAAAGCTTTTTTATACATTAATAAAAAACTACATTGAAAAGGAAACAAAATTGAACCATGTTTTATTGGACAAGTACCTATTTTTCGATAAACTATTGGCTGGTAAAATCCTGACGATATAAACTGGACCACCCTGTATAAGATAATTTACAAAACAGCAGATCAAAATTAATCAAATGCCGACAAATTAAAATATATGTACGAGTACGTCGTTAGGGTGTAAGGGTTAACGTTCAACAAATTTAAATGTGTAATAGCTGACTTCAGAGCTAACATAAAGTCTTATACAGGGTGTTTACTTTGTAGAATAAATCTACTGTTAATTTATCGGGCGAACCCGGTACAGATGTATTAAGTAAGGAGCACAGAGATAACAGTAAATATAGCTATTCATTGATATCGTGACGCCTACAGCGATACCACAGTCGATACGGTCAAGTCGTAAATCAGGAGTGAAGAGACATGTGGTGTGAGGTAAAGGAAGGAATAAACTGACGGTCCTACAAAACAATTTTATTAATGAATATATGTGTAAGCCGTTGTACGTCCATAATAAACAACGTACAAAATGTTAGCCCTGTTGCCACATTTAGTACAAAATATTTGATATCCAACTTAACATTAACTAGGTTTTGGAATTTATTGACATCTAATTTAGTTAAATTATATAAAACTAATGATTAAAAATTTTTTGGGTTCAGTTGCAATAAAATAATTTGAATTATTTTAGCTTTTTTTAAGATATGTAAATAATTTTGTAAATAAAACGAGAATGAAATAGGCATGACAACAGTATATATTATATTCTCTTATGCCTATTAGAATATGTCTTATTCAATTATTGGACAACTAGAATGTGAAAACAAATTATTTACATATTTACACTATGCTACGACTAAACCATTTATTTGCTTGTAGGAAATTCAAATCTCACGCTAATATTTATGATTCTCTAGGTCAGATTGCCTGCCGGTGAGCTAATTTGTCCACATGCTACATATTGTTTTTTGTTTGTTGACGGTTGAGAGAAGTATCTTGCAATTAATGGAACGAATAAAGCTTGAAAGTGGAGTGTGTAACGAGAACGACATAGGTATGTAACCAGAGATGTACCCCGAAGCATGTTTACTTTACGAAACTTGAAATTAAAGGGAGTGTAATCGATAAAATGAATTGTATTGTGATAGGTATACAAGGTAACTTGTCGGTTCTTGTGTATGAAGGGCGTGTCCAACTGATGAGCTTTACATCAGCACGTGAAATTCATAAGAAATATTTTTTGATTCTATTGAGTAGAAGAGAGAAAGATGCTGCGATGCAAGAGATAGAATATGTGCTGGTTTGTAGTTTGATCCGAGTCGTACTGGTGTACGTGACCGTCGTTGTAACAACCAGTTAATCCTAAAGACCAACGCTCGTCACCAAATGTAACAACCAGTTTGCCTAAAGACCATTTGTAACTACTGATAGGTCTTTAGCTACTGTTACTATACTATTAAGGGATAAAGGCAGCGCTTGTCACCAGCCCTAGGGTCCTGGAGTCCTGAAGGAACATCCATTCGCCAGTGGCAAAATAAAATAATAAAAGAAAATAATAAAAATACAAAAAAAACATCCCTTAATAGCATATGTCGAGCGGTTCTTGGCAACTAGTTTTAGACTCTTTTAGTCCTAAGGGAATAGAAACGCCGAGGCTTCTCAAATGCTCGGAGTATTTTGCTGGTTTGGGAAAGGAGGAGAGATTAATAATAAGTATTAAAACATTAACAAATGTATATTAACAATAAATAAAAAACTTGACAAATAGTCTTCAGAAAAAATGAATAAAATTCTATTTAGAGAATAATGCACTATAACTAATAGTAATAAAGATAAGCATAAAATATAATTCGGGACGAAAATGTAAAATTGGCATTTATATGTAAATCAATTAATCAATTATTATTAAACAAAATTAAGTTAAAATATTTACCCATAATTCTCATCGTACACAAAAAAACTTTACACATTGCTTTACAATACAAAACGAGAACTTTCGCCCGAGGGGCGAAAGTTCTGGACCTTAGTCCGAACCCGACTGAGCCTTTCCCCCAAGTGATCCTTTCTATATAAACCAAAATTTATGTGACTGTTGATTTGTATTTTACAATGTCACGTTCAATGTAAATTAATAAAATGAAGGTTTGTTTCATTGTCATAAGTGTCTTTTTAATTATTTAATTTAAACATTAAATACTTGTTTAGAATTTTTGGTAAATTCTTTAGATTTTTCCAATTAATAATAATGCCAATTATTACATCGTCATGCATGTAGAAGATATATTTTGTTTGCACTATTAGAGTGGGATAACATTGTTATTTGTAGGATGAAGAAATGAATTTCTTGAATGCGTGGGTTTGATTGAAAATGGTTTGAGCATTAGGAAATGCTGTTATGAAATTTAAATACAGAAGTATATTGAATATCTTGAAGGTGAAATTTAAAAAATGCACAAACAGGTCGGTGTTTATTATTTTCTTTAATTTGACAGTTATATAAAATTATACCTTGTAAAATACAAATAACGTACAACATATAGATAATAGATAAAGGTTATAAATGTAAAATCTAAGTCAGGTATTCATAGGCATTAAATATGACAAAATGACAGAAAAATTGAAAATGTAGGCATTTATGTACAATAATTCTAAAACGATTTCACTAGATAGCCACATTTTTTTCTATATTGCTGTCATTCTTAAACGTCAAATAAATTATTTCAAGTTTTTTTATACATTTTTAAAAAAAAATTATTTATTGTAAACATGAGTGGAAAATATTTGTTAATTTAAAATAAATATGGTTGGTACGCGAAATTATTATTTTTTTTAAAAAAACTTTATTTTGAAGAGCAATTTAAGTCTTTTAAATCTTCTACAATGTGGTCAATTGAAACAAAAAAAAAATATTTATAAAGCTTAACAAATTATTATAAAAAAATGTGTGATTTGTGTTTTAGTCATTGCAGTTGTAGAACAAGTCTACTTAGTGTTTTACTTATGCAGAAAACATATACCTCGTTCTTTTGACAGATTTCACACATCGATTGGATTATGTACTTTTTGCACAAAATACTATTTTCATTTATATATACAATCTGTTCAATTTTGTATCCTTACTCCAGGAGAACGGTATAGAAACACAGTGCTATTGAATAGAGAGAAATATAATATACGGTTCATGCTTATCATCGAAAGGGCGTGGTTAAACTAATTACTCTCTTTATCGATCTTACGCCCGAATATAAATAAGGGTTTCATCTATATTTTGCCTGATGCATCGGGTTAACATACTGTATATGTATATATCATTCTTTTTTCAGTGAGTGATGCAACATCAAAATCAGTAACAGGAATTCTGCGTGGAAATATCGCACAGTTCGGACAATTTGAGGAGTGTTTGACATTAGAATCGCCGTTTCCAACTCAATATTGCATAACGACTATCATTGCTGATATACCGGCACCAAATCCTCCAAGAAATCCGAAATCACTCATATATTTGCCAAATGAATCTGTTCTCCGGAAGATTTATGTAAGTATAAAAATATTTTTTTTCTACGCCCACTTGGATATTAACCTATCTACGCACAGATTACAAAAGGAAAAAGTATGCTATTGCCTTTAACTGAACAAATATATTTCATAGCCATTCTAGGTAGTGAGAACAATGCAAATAAATGAAATCCACCAATCACAGTTCATATTTTGATCGACCGACTGTTATTATTTTTAAAAATTTAAACAAGTGAAAATTCTGTCAAACTAATTATCAGTAGGTATATTTTTTAGTTATTGAGATTAAATATTCGTAAAAACAAATTATTCTTGTGTAGAATCGATAGGTAAATAATAGCATTTCTATTTTTATTTCGTCTATATTTAAAAATAAATTATAAATTTTAATCAAACTAATGAAATTAATTTAATTACGAGTAAATGAGTTGATGGAGGTGAGACCAGGGCGTTTGGCTGCCATGCGAGAGACGCGGGTTCAAATCTGGGCTAAATTATATCTTTTTTTATGTTGATTTTATTTTATAAATTAGTAAAAATCATAAATTATTTTTAAATTCGTTATTTTATCTAAATCTAAAATAGTTTTTAAAATTTGTAAATTTTCGTAGAAAAAATATATACTGTACAACTCGAGTGGATTGTCCATATCCACTCTTGTTGCACAAACTACTATTCTTTTACATCCACATGTATATTATCTACTGTATGCATAAACTACAGAATGGTAGGCTATATCAGCCTACTGAATGGATATAATTTCATATCCATTTCATTCCGGATATTGGTGATAATCATAACAAACCAAACAATGTTACCAGCAGCTGAAATAAAAAACCCAGGGCCTCATTTCTCTTTCATCTTTTCATTGCAATATTAAGTTATTATCAATACGCATAATTAATCAAGATTAATTTCCATATCAACGTAAGTTCATGATTGATTAATACCTCTAAAATCAACCAACAACCCAAATCACTAGACCTAAAAGATTGAAATTTAGAAGGTATAATGACCAATAAAAAATGAAAATTTGTATTTAGATTGTCCTTTAAAAATAGAGATATACCTGTTTTGCCATTTCCAAAACGGAATTAGGATGGTTATTATTATTACACTTAATGTACAATCTTTAATTCAGTGTGGAAAGAAAACTGTTCTTTGTCTTCTCTGCCTTCTTTGCTCTGACTTGTCTGCCTTCTCTGCCTTCTCTGTCTTTTCTGCCTTATCTGCCTTATCTGCCTTATCTGCCTTATCTGCCTTATCTGCCTTATCTGCCTTCTCTGCCTTCTCTGCCTTATCTGCCTTCTCTGCCTTCTCTGCCTTCTCTGCCTTCTCTGCCTTCTCTGTCTCCTCTGCCTTCTCTGCCTTCTCTGTCTTCTCTGCCTTCTCTGCCTTCTCTGCCTTCTCTGCCTTCTCTGCCTTCTCTGCCTTCTCTGCCTTCTCTGCCTTCTCTGTCTCCTCTGCCTTCTCTGCCTTCTCTGCCTTCTCTGCCTTCCTAGCCTTTCCTGCCCTCTATGCCTTTTCTGTCTTCTCTGCCTTATCTGCCTTCTCTACCTTCTCTACCTTCTCTGCCTTTTATGCCTTCTATGCCTTCTCTATCTTCTCTCAGCTTTGTCACATACCGAGCTCCTGACCAGCTTCCTGCACTTCTCCTGTATTTTCTTTTAAGTGTCCTTGGAGTTGTTGCTCTTTGAACATCTTTCATCTTTTATGGATGAACTCAATAGATAAATAATGTTCATTTTAATTAATAATAAATTGTTTATTACAAAATAAAGTTATAAAATTACAAAGAGAAAAAATAGATTAAATTTATGAACTCAAGTAATAAACAAGGTAATCCATGTAGGCCCATCAGGCCTGTCTATGGTATAGCCGTTTATTAAAATAATTTTTATAATTTAATCTTAGCAATATTTCTTAACACATGTAAAAAATGTAAACAAAAAGAGTACTGTTAAAAAACATATTAAAAGGTAAGTACATTTATAGCTTAAAAACTAATCTAATATAGTAAAAAGTAAGAAACGTAAGAAAAGTAAGAAAGTAAAAAAAAGTAAAAAAAAGTGTTTTATTTCTTACCACACATACAATAATATTACTAGATTTATATATATTTTTCCTCCGATCAAAATATTTTTTCTAACAAAACTTTTTATTTTGGATAAACATATTATAAATAGACATAGATATAAAAATTAAAACTATTAATGAAATAGAGACATGTTATTTTAGATTATCAAGTTTAAGTAATATAAATAATGTAATGCATGCAAGAAAAACCGGCAAATCTTTAGTTATTAAAAATTCCAACACTATCAAGTCATTATATCAATTTCAGTTTCAATTGCTTATTCTAATATCTGTTATAGAAGGTCGGAAAATAATAATGAATGAATGAAATTTTTCTATGGATTAATTATTAACCTTGGTCTTTTTCTGATTATTATTTGTTTCAATAATTATGTTTTGCTTTATAATAATAGACTAATTTTTCTCTACATTTAAGTTTAATTAATTTCTTAATAATTAAAGCCATTTATTGCCTACTTTTCTCTATCAGTTGCCTTGAGAGGTAGTAATATCATATTTCATGTAATTTGTAGCAAAATATTCACTGGCAAAATCAACAGACTATATCTCTGGTACATAATTAGACTATAAACAACACTGCGATGTAATTTGATTTTTATTAAATAAAAATATATGAACAATTACGTGTAAGTAGCTCAACCGAAAACGAGACTAAAATATTACTTAATCGGAAAGTATGTAACCGGTTTATACAGTGCATAATTAATTTCTTGACAATTTAGTGAAATAGTGTTGACGGAGTGTTCAAGAAACTGAAATAATTAAAGAACCCTAAAATGTTGCCAATGTCATATATGTGGACAAGAGTTCTAAGCGGTCTAAAGGGTCTAAGAAATCTAAGGGGTCTAAGAGTTCTAGGTGGTCTAAAATGTTTAAGGGATCTAAGAGGTCATAGGGGTATAAGATTCCTGAATGACTAAGTGACATTTAAAAAAAATCCAGTTCAATACGGAATATGGTGGTTAAAACACCAGTCTTTTGAGTGGTAAAGAGATCTTAGATCTGAGATTTCTTGACTAATGTAGCCTCGATTCCCTTACACCAACTAATAAATCTAGTTCATTAGTTAGAGCGCTAGGAGTCTATGTGTTACTTGGATCCCTTAACATATAACTGATTGTGTGGTGACTGGTGATTTGTACAGTAGCAGATCACATGGTGAAACAGTCGTCTGTTTTCAGACAGCTTATATGGTTTTACATCATTCTTTCTATAACATTTACCGAAAAATAGACAGTTTAGTACTTCATAAAACTACTGCAATTATTTTATTTTCTACTATGCTCAGATGTCAAGGGATCTAAGCACAAACAACAATTTAAAAAATATATAAAAATACACCAAACTAATAAAATAAACTGATATTGAAACCTGAATAAGATTTTAGAATACAAAAATAATGATAATCTTTTCATTTCCTAAAAAAATTATGTTTCTTACTTTAACTAAAATTACTTAAAATAAGACAAATATAGACCCTGGGAAGAAGCTCAGCTTAGCATGTTAACTTCTGTATATCAATATCTGCAGTTGAGCAAGACCGCGCGCCGTAGGTACTTGGATGGGTGACCATTTAAAGGAAAGTCGGCGTACCTCTAAAACTCAAACTGCCCGCGTAGTTACATACCACAGTAGACAGGCATTATATCAATGAGTACTCATCTTTCTAATTTTTAGAAAATACAAGAAACTCTTTGGAGTAGGTACTTTATATTTTCATAAAATGTTTTCTTTCCAGGGAGCACTAAGATTTATTTTACTTTGCTAAGGAAAATACATAATAACATTAATTTTTTTATTAAATCACTAAGTCTAAATTGAATGAATAGTTTGTATTGGGTATTACTTATTATTACTTGAAAACGGACCAAGTTGAGAATTGAATAAAATAGGAATTGCTTCCAGCTTTAAATTCGTCTTTCCCCGCGGAATTCATACCAAAATCATAATTTTTTAAATGTTTCCAATACATTTTAGTGTTTTTGTTAATTTTATCAACTTTAACCGTTCTTAATTCTAGGTTTAGAGTCCAAATTTCCATTGCTTTAAGATTTGTTGGAAACCTGCATAAAAAATGTCTAATAATAATCTACAATATATTTATTCCGCCTAGGTATTTTATTTACTTATTTACTTACCTTCGAAACGACATGTGGATCTTTCCAAATGTATGTTTTAAGGAAAACAAAACATTGAATAGTAATTTTTGGACTTGCAACTAATAAAATTCGTTAAAACAAATATACTAGAAAAAATATGGCCTAGAAATATAAAATCACACAAAATGTACAAACAAAACTGACAATTCCCAAGTGCTTGTTGACAGTTGTGACTAAATTTTGGCGCTGCTATTTAAAATAGACGAATCGAATCGCATCAAAGACCCAGGAGAAAGAGAAAATAATATAAAAAAGGGTAGATACTGGCTCAAATAAATCCAGACCATTATTTATCTATATTTCATTTGTTTATCTGAGGAATCAGTGAATAATGAAATCATTACTAACTAGTGAATAATGGATATAATTATTATTTAGTAAAATCATGGATAATGAACTAATTATAGATTAGTCGTGGATAAAAAGTATTTATTAAATGCTTTGTGGATAATGCTTTATGATAATTCTTCTTTTTCTGTATTTTCCACGGACTCTTACCTGGATTAGGAAAAAGGCCGGTTGTAGTGAGTTTTCTTTTCGAAAAATGCACTTTAAGATGTGTCTGGGCCTTTGTCCATGCTCTTCGGGGCTTAATTTCTGTAGTGGGATTCCGTTTCACGATTCGACCTGGAATTTCTATATAAATCTTATGTGAATACAATCAAAACGAGAAAACGACTTCTTTCTTCTTTTTGATGGCCTTTATGTTTTAAAACAAGGAATTAAAACGTTTCAAAATATTTATTTCGCAAAGAAATGTTACGCTCTTGCAATATTACCTATAATATAAATATAAAAAAGTGGTTGACAGATATTCATTTTTTTTTTTTCTTTTTTTTTATTAAGATATATTCGGACTATTATGACAAAAAAAAAAATATTTTTAACTATTGACCCTTTGAGCACCAATCCACAGAATTATATCTATTAGTTTTTTTTATAGTACACATAATATATTATAATACTTTGAAAGCTGCAAATTTCATTAATAGATTATTTGTAGGTCATGTGCGGGTGTGGTGGCAACACTTCTTATATAATCTGATTATGAGGTCCTGCCATATTTCGTCAACTGCAAAATTTATATTAATATTTTTTCATTCTCTTAATTAAATACAATTGTACGATTATTTATATTTCTTGTTGTCATAGAATAAGTAACATATAAATAACGATGTTGACAAGTTTTTGATGAAAATAAAAGATTCCATTTCTTAATTTCATTTGCCACATCTGTCCATTTCTGGTAACTGTATGCGATTGTTAAGAAATGGGCGTCTGATTGCAAACTTTCATATATTTTGTAATATCGTAAGAACCATATAACTATAAGTATGTTATGAAAGTTAAATAATTTGTAGTTAATTAGTATGGTACTATACTTGGTATTGCTTGAGTCCTATCAACAAACAAAGACATTGGACGCAATACATTTTTAATCTTAGATAGTTTGTAATAACTTGTTTCTTCTGATGTCCAGTTTGTAGGTATTTTATAATTATATTTTGAACGTATCTGAAGAAAAATGTAAAGAATGATTTACAAAAAATGTTTCTAAGTCATGTCCGTGATAACTATGCACTACTCTGATTAAACCGAAAGGTTTGATAAATACATTAATATATAAATTGGCCACTACAATTTCTCTACAATGTTTTTATTTCACAATTTATAAGAAGAAACAAAATAATATTAGATTGTTTGTTTTTAACTACCACCCACTTTCAGCTAGGTCCCCTCTTTGACAATTAATTAGATAAATGAAACAAACCTATTATGATCATATTATATTAATCTGTCAAACGATTGACCAATCAGCCAGATATAAAATTGATGTTAAAACATAAAATATTTTTATTTCAGTATAGGTATTCAAATGAATACCTATTCTGGGATTCTACGCTCTGTCTATATCTTTAATCAAAAGGGCACCTACATCATTTACTAATGACATTTTGGGTTTTTTAAACTTTTTCTTATTTTAGATACATATTTTATTATTTTTATATTTATCTGGGATCTGAGCGAAGTTGAAACAATAACTGTCATGCTTCGTGAACTTGAGTATAATATTAACCTTCGTCGTATGGTGCTAAAAAATTACACAGAATATAGTGCGGGGTAGATTTTTACTCCAGGTTTTTTCCATCCTAATTTCACTACGATATGTTTAGTTAAAAACAAAATATAAAGTCAATACAAAACAAAATAAATTCATTTAAACTAATATTTGACAGAAAATCTTATGGAATAATGGTTATAATAAAAAATAAAAAAAAATCAAGTCTATTCTTCAGTATTATGACATTTTTCACACATAATACGTTTTTGGAATGTAAAACACATACAAAATTATTGCACTGGTAGTACATTTGTCCGCATTTTTTTTTCCGATAACATATACAACAGCGAAATACAGTGCATGGTACAAAACGTAACCCATGTCGCGTTTTATTTTTTTTTATAAGAACTATAAGATTTTATTTGTAAATTATTGAAAAGAATATTAAATGAAATCGGCATAGCCAAAAATTGAAATTTCACGAAAATATTATGAAAATTCTGACTCTGGGGTACATTTGTACCGCGCAACGTACGACGAAGGTCAAATGATTAACCAATCATCCTATGGTCCAGGGGCGTGCGGTCCATGGAAGCGGGGGAAGCACCGCTTCCCTACACTTTGAGATTTAAAAATTAATATTTTTCAGTTTACAATGAATAGAAATTAATATTAAATTAGGTACTATTTTTCTCTGAAACATTACGTAAATGTACTAACAATTCATTGAGAAAATTAATTGTGGAAGTGCGTCTTAAACAAACCGGCTCATCTTCCAATTGTTTTCGCTTCGTGTTATTGACTTTGGTTTACCGCGACAGTAGTCAGTCTGTTTGGGCACGTGAAATACGGTCGAGAGGCAGCGATTTTTACGTTGCCTTACGCATAATGCAATTCGCACCGCGATTCGACGTGTGAAAAAAATCGTAGACTTCAGATAGATTTCGGTTTGTTTTTCGTAGTTGTTTTTCTTTTTGTAAAATGGAGGAACTATGCACTGTGTCTGTGAACAATAATAATGTGGTAAATTGTGTCTGTATTGTGTGCTCTTTATTAAAAAAAGAATTTTCAAGTAGAAATTTTGAAGAGAAAACGGACATTATTAATTCTAGTAGAATAAAGGATCCTATCAATTTAGAGACGAAAGTAGAAAAGTCAGCAAAGAAATTTACCAGGCATTTTCACGTAGGGTTCTATGAAAAGTATAAATGGTTAACCGGCTGCAGTCTTTGGAATAAGACTCAAAACATTGGCTTAGAACCTGAAAGAAAGAGAATTAGAATTAATAATGTCGGCGACAGAGAGACCTCCTATCGTCGATTATACGCCGAAATTTTTGATAATATTTTACAACAAATGAACTGTCGATTTCAAAACTTTAACGAATTAAAATATGTTGAATTGTGCAATTTTAATATTAGTAACTACGATTTATCAAAATGTTCATCAGAAGCTTTTAATTCACTAAAATTAAATTATGGAAATTTTTTCGATATTCCAGCATTAAAGTCCCAGTTAAGTGTTGTTTATGAAACACCTGAAATTAGTGATAAAAAGACGCCCATCAATGTGTTAAATTTTCTTATAACAACTGGTTTAAATAAGTCCCTTTGTGAAGTCGTTAAGTTGTGTGAATTAGTACTAACCAACCCAGCCACAAGTACGTCAGTTGAGCGAAGTTTTTCAGCTTTAAAGCGCATTAAAAGTTTTATACGAAATTCAACAAGTGAAGACAGACTCTCTAATTTACCGTCAATATCCATTGAAAAAGAGCTTGTTAAACAGTTATCAGAAAATCCAAAATTGTACGATGTTATAGACAAATTTGCAGCCATTGAGGATAAGGAATAGATCTTAAGTATAAATAAATGTCAACTGCTGTGTCAACTGTGCGAAAAATGCTGGAAAAAATAAAAAAGTTAAATGTTTTTTTCTACGTTTAAATAAACCAAGGAAGCTTTTCAATGGTAAGTTTTTTTATAGCTTCTAGTACTAAACTAGGTAATAAAGTAATAGTAACACTTCAAAAATCTCAATCTAGAATATCCGTAGTACTGAGGAAAAAAGCAAGATTTTGACAAAATGGTGAATGCGTTGCGAAAAATTTTCATCTGCGACGCCGTGCTTACTGGCCTGCTTTATTTTTATATAATCGCTTCCCCTTCCAAAAATGACATTGCATGCCACTGCTATGGTCAGATGCTGAAGTTGGATATGCTCCGTCCATCTGTTTATGGTCAGAGAGTTACATCATTTACTAACGACCTCTGGTGGATTTTTTAGAACTAAGTACATTTTAGGGACATATTAGAGAGATATTACAAATTTTTATAACGTCAATCACTAATAATGATAACGAAATTAGAGGCAAATAAACTCTATGCTAAAATAAGACTTATTACAAAACTGAAGTTTTGACATTAGAGTCCTTGTCCTTTTCAATGAACTCGAGTGGGGTAGAATGCCAATGTGCATGTTGTATCACTAGAACTAGGTGTGACTCTATGGGTGCAGCCGTTGTTATTCTTCATCTTACTCGGGAGTATTTATAATAACCATTTTGTTTCACATTGTTATTGTCTAGTCCACAATCTGGTGGACTAGATAAAACGGTTATAAATATTCCCGAGTAAGATGAAAAATAAAATGGCTGCGCCCACAGAGTCGCATCTCAAGCCTATTGACAAGCATTCTACCCCACTCCAGTTCATTGATTTTTATACATATTTCTAACCTTATTAATTAAATTAAAAATTACAGTTCATCTTTTTTGTTGTCTATAATATATAGTACATAATATACAGGGTGTTTCAAAAAGATTGGTCATAAAATATACCACGTATTCTTGGGTTAAAAATAGGTCGATTAAACTTTACTTACGTATATACAAAAGTGCACCCAAAAATAGTTACAGGGTGTATAAGATAAAAATTTAAATGAATTTTAGAAGGTTTAGATGACGATGATATTAAATATTTAATATTCAAACACAAAATAATACGAATGTCGGCGAGTGCACCCGAAAGCTACAAAGTCGCCACTATCTGCTGCCCTCATCCACAATGAAGGTTTGCGTCTGACAGACAAAGAATCGCATTTCGTGCAAGGGATAGGTATAACTTTCCGCAAATTAGGTGTCCCGGGACATGGCTGTCCCCGGCAGTGAGTAGAGGAACTTAAAAATTTCTAACCATCGACGAATAGTTTTCTACTTCTGCTTTCAACCCTCCGACCGACAAGAAATTTGTATAAGCAGGCCCGGCATTAATATCGTTTTAGGAAGAAATCTGAGAAGTTTATTTCTAGTTTGTAAATTACCTTTCACGACTTAAAAAGTTTAAATTAAAGTATGCTAAAATACAAACCAGTTTAACTTTCTTAGCTAAAATAAAAAAATCTAAACAAGCGCGTAACGAACACAAACTTTGGAATGCACCAACTTACATACACACTCTTTAATAAAGTCAGTTCTAGAACGTAAGCGATCTGCACATGCTTAGATGTCAAAATAAGAGCGGCGTTAATAGTGACTGACGTTAAATGAACTTGTATATCTCTCTATAATCTTCTTTTATTTTTATATGCAATCAGGGATCGATCCTAAAACCTTCCGACTAAACCAGTCGGCGCTTCTACCGGCCATCTCAATCAGATTTCGACTTTTATCGACATACACAAGCATTTTCCTCCTCTCCCAACGCCTTCAATTTTCCTTAAAGCTACCCTCGTAAAGGAAGGATGCCAATCTCAGATTGTACTAGAATACAGTGGTAAATTTTCGATTACGGTTCTCTAAAAAAAAAAATAACAAGAAAAAGTGACGGTTGGACAGACAGACGGACAAACGAACGGTCTGACGGGTACCGAGTTGATTCCATATGTTCCTTTTTTCGAAATTAAGAAAAAACACTAAAAAATTGTAAGTACGGAATAGATATATTTAATTCAATTGGGCAATTAACCTTATCACAAGCAAAATCTCTTGATTACTTTCTTTTTTATGGTATTTCAATATGACCTGCATACAACAGATACTTTTTTATTTTTAATGATGAATATTAATTCATTTCAAGATTTTTAAGTTTTTTAATCGCCCATTTTTAATTATCCTGGTTTATGTTTATTGTGAATATAGATACTATTTTTCACAGTAATAATTATTATGGCTCCTAAATGTAAATATATATACTATACGACATTGAATTCTGAATGGCGTAACTGACCTACAAGTCCGAAAGTAGGCAAAGCTTTTAACGATTTGTTATAGCCGACTGGGTTTTATATAAGGTATACTATTATTAACAGCTTATGTAATAGGTATTAATACCATTCAACAGCGATCATTCACACTTAACATTTATTTTGGTAATTGAGATTAGTCGGGTAAAAGAAATTTATTTTGTTGAAATGTTTATTCTAGAATAATAATAATTATTTATTATTATAAAACTCTTCTGCGTTAATCCTTTTTATAATGCCTACACACACACAAAAAATGAAATATAAATAACAATAAATACATAGTAAAAATTAATTAATATATAGTAAATGACAATATTTTTTAGTTTTTTTGATATTTTAATTTTGATAATACACCTACAATTAGGAAGCAATATCAAAGCTAGTTCATAAAACAAGGTGGAATAATAACCGACAATTATCAAAGAAAATAAATTCCAATAATCAAATGTAAAAATGAAAACACATGAAACAGATATTGATAATTGCCTAGTAATATACCGAATCTCCACTCCATCACTTTCAGAAGTGCTCTAAACAGTCATTATAAATACAGAAATAAAATAATTAAATTAAAACCAATATAATAAACGAAAACCATGCGTAAAATCGAGTACTGTCCTGTAGCATACCATACAAGGATCGAAAAATTCCAACAGTCCACGTTGACTAGTAAACAACCAATACAAATTGATCATCAGCCAATAAGGAAATAGCAATACCCTCGGCAGTGGCGTAGCCACGGAGGGGTTTGAGGGTCAGAACTCCACCCCTCCCCCATGGAGGGTCCTCGCGTTCACATTTCCGCTATAGTATTGGCGCCTGATCGCTACTGACTGGCTGGCTACGCCACTGACCCTCGGTGGGTTGAGACAGGTGCATAAATACTGAGCATAAATTAATTTTAGTGTATTAGGTAAATAGGCTGGTTTTTAAAGGGCGGTCGGTCAATAATGAATTGCAATGGAGTAAAAGCTACAGAGAGTTGACATTGGAGCAAGCGGAAAAGGAATGCTGTTAACGCTGCCATTTATACGAACCGACCGCGTTGAAACGTTGGCCAGGCCGTGTAGGCTAGCATCGCTGGTATTGTTCCTTTCCGGCTTTTTTTTTCTCCTGGGCTCGTCTGACTATGTCTCCGAATAACACTGAAGCCTATTGGCTTATTGTGTTTTACCCCATGTTAGTTAATAGCACCCACTCTGTCACCTTTGTCCTTATACAAGTTTGTACAGATCCTTGGGTGAGTGGGTTCTATACGTTGTTGGAGCAACCTTGGGTTGTCCAAAAAGAGCCTGTCTTTTGCGATCTAGAGCTTCGCATTTGCACAGTATGTGTTTGGCTGTTTCTGTTTTCTTGTGACATAGTCGGCACATGAGTTCACCGTTGTACATGCCAATTTTGTTCAAGTGTCCCTTTAACTGGGGCGTGCCCAGTCATGAACCCTGTTATCACTTTCAACTGGTTCCTATTCATAAAGAGTAGTTCTCCAGTTCTTTTGGGACATGGTCTACCTATGAAGGCTTTTCCATGTGCCTGTTTTGGGGTGCTTCCCCAATAGTTGATATGTTGTTCCCGAATCCAGTCGTTTATGAAACCCCGGACTGTACTTTTTGGTACTCCTGGGTTAGTGTCTGGTTCCGGTGTTCCTTCTGACCCTCTTTGTGCAAGTTCGTTAGCCTTTTCGTTGCATTCGATCCCTTGGTGACCTGGCAAATAGTATTACTCTATTTCGGTCTGCCAGTGTTCCTAGTTCTTCGATACATTCCCATACCAGCCTCGACGTAACTTTCTGACTCGATATGGCCTTAAGTGCCGCTTGGCTGTCTGACATTATTTGAATATGCTGATTTTCTACAGCTATGGTTAGTATCAGGGTTTTTGGAGAATACTTCCGCCTCAGGGCCTTCCGCAGACTTAGACCCGTCTGTATACCAGGTTTGTTCCTGTCGTTGAGCATTGGGCTCCCTTATGGTGATCTCCGCTCTTTCCTGTATTAAAACTTCAAATGGAGTATTAAAAGAGTATTATTTCTTGGTTATGTGGTCTGACCTCATGTCTAGCACGTCTCCTGTCACTAACCTTGAGATACTCATGTGGCTTGGCCTAATGTCAAGATTTCCCAATCACCTAATCTTGCCTCCCCTTGTATCACATAGTGAAGAGGTGGGAGTCCTATTAGTGCTTCCATTGCAGCAGTGGGGGTGGTTTTCATTGCCCCCGTTATTCCGAGGCAGGCAAGTCTTTGTACCTTGCTTAGCCTCGTTATTGTTTTCCTTTGCTGTGTCTTTGGCCTTAGCCACCACACCAAAACTGCGTATGTTATAAAGCCAATATACCATGTCTGGTTTTAACCCCAATTTTTTTCCAAAGAATCACCTTGCCATCATTAACGAGGTTTCCGCTCTCCTTGTGGTTTTTTTCTAGGTGCTGGTTCCAGGTAAGTCTCGAATCAATCATAACCCCGAGATATTTTACCTCCCCCTTAAGCTGGATGCTTACACCTCTTAGGTTTAGAGGCCCTAGTCCCTCCAATTTCCTCCTGCGGGTGAATGCAATTATGTCAGATTTGTTTGGGCTAATGTTTAGTTCTTCCGCCTCTGTCCATTTTGTTACTATATTTAGAGCCTCTTGCATTCTATCTCTTACTATAGTGTTGTATTTTCCCTGTGCCATGATCACTAGATCATCTGCATATCCCAGGGTTCTATGTCCCTTATCCTTGAGAGCCCTAAGCAGCCCGTTCACTACAAGGTTCCACAGGAGTGGAGACAGCACTTCACCCTGCGGACATCCTCTCGCTACCCGTGCCGCTATTGTCTCTCCCATAAGGGTTGTGTGTATAGTTCTCTCCCTTAACATAGAGTCGATCCAGGACACGCACGTGTCTTCGATTCCTCTGTGTTTGAGAGATCTAATGATCGATTCAACGGAGGAATGATCAAATGCACCTTCGATATCCAAGAATGCTCCCAGCATTACCTCCTTGTTTTCCAGTGTGTTCTCCACCCCTTTTATTAATTGATGGAGAGCTGTTTTAGTTGATTTCCCTGCACTATAGGCGTATTGGTCTTGGTATATTGGCCCCTGAACCACTATCCCATCTCTAATATGCCAATCTAGCAGTTTTTCCAAAGTCTTAAATAAAAAGGACATAAGACTTATTGGTCTTAGGGATTTTGCCGTTTCCTGTCCTATTTTCCCAGGTATTGGTATAAAAGTTACCCTAATATTTCTCCAAGCTTTTGGTATGTGTCCAAAGGCCAGGCTTGCCCTAGTGCTGGCTCTCTGTAGTTTTCTCGCGTACTTGTGGTAAGGGATATTGCAAGATGTTCGACGACCAATGCTGTATAACTAAACTGATAATTAGTTTTACAGAATTGTCACTCTATATAAACTGTGATTGGTAGATTTCGTATCCATACTAGAATTGATATGATATAATTCGTTCAGTAGAACTGATATGGCCTACTTATTCGTTCAATATTCTGTGAATAAAATATGCTGGACCGCAACATTAAACGGACATTTTGATTTTCGTTTCGCAAAATTTATTTTTCCCCGTTTTTTAAATATTAAGCAAAGGTGATTTTTGATAGAATGAAATCAAATTTAATTTTTTTTTTTTTAAACATCAACTGAAATTATTTTGATTTACATTTTTTCTTATCGATATTTAAAAAAAAAACATGGGTAATGACAAAAACAATGTCTATATAAAAACACTTAGGTTGTATTTAAAAATTTAATGTAGGGTGTCCCACTTAAAATAAACTAAATGAGAGGATTTCGGAAATTAAAGGAATTATAAAGTCGTTTAAATATGATAAAAGAATATAACCTTCGTATATGGTATGTGGTATATGGTATAATGTACCAGTTCCAGATTGTTATCTTTCTTTCAGAAAAGTATATTAAAGAAAAAAGAAACCAACCAATTTTAAATATTTTAAAATATTTAATATGATACCTAGAGATTCCATCAAATTGACTACTAAGACTTTGGAAGAATTTTAATTTTTTGTTATTGTTCTACAAATATGATCTAAATGGCACTTCTGAAGAATTTATAATAAAACATAAGTTTAGGTAGAGGTTACAACTTAACCTTGAAAAAGATTATGAGCCAATTAATTCTTTAAGTGCTTTAGTGTTTAGACCAGGGGTGCTCAGAGGTCGATCGCGAGTGCTTTCTGAGTCGATCTCGAGAAAAATGTATTAATCCTACTTAAATGTCATAAACACACCTTATTTAAAAAACTCAACACAACACTTACTTTAAATTTCTAACTATCAGGGAAATAACTCATAAAATAACCATCAAACATATTGAAATGTGAAGCTAATATCGAGAAATCGCAAAATCGAAGTCCGAAAGGTAAGTAATTTTAGACGTTCTTATGATTTCAGTAAATTGGCAAGTATCGCATCTTTTATTAGTTATCCTTTTTCGTGTAAAAACATTGAAGAATCTGCTATTGAAATAGCAAGTCAGTTTAAGATGGACTCATGTTTTGTTGAAAAAGAGGTAGTGCAAATTATATCAGATATTATACATTTCGGGTCGCAGCATCTGATACAAAATTCTAGTCTTTTATATATGAAGATAAATATCCGAATCTAAGGCAAATTGCATTTTAGTTGACGCCAATGTTTGGATCAACTTACTTGTGCGAGTCTGCGTTTTCTGAAATGAAGATAATTAAGTCAAAATATCGCAATCGACTAACTGACGAACATGTGTCATCATACTTGCGATTAGCACTCGGTAATTACGTACCATCTTACGAAAAGTATGCTGAGGACATGCAGTACCACGCTTCAACATCGAAAGTCATTCTTTAGTTAAGTTTAGAAATTAGAACTCGTTTGTTTTTTAAGAACCAATAAACTCGCAATTTTGAAAATTATGACCTTGACTAAAAAAATGTATATTGTGGAAAAATAAATTTCTGTCGTTTCTACTAGTTCTTTGTGGCCTTCATGGCCGTGAAATTCTGCAACGTCCCTATATACTTTGCCTGCATCACGTATACTTGCAGCCTTTCAGAGTCGATCGATCGGAGTCAATATTGATGCTGATAGCTAGCAGTTCAAGTTTGAGCAACTCTGGTTTAGACTATTATGATGAAGATATGTTATCAAATATTAAAATTGTACTATTACTATTAACAGTACTACCTGTGTCTATCGCAGAAAATAAAAGAACATTTTCCACATTGCGCAGAACAAAAAACTATTTAAGAAACTCAAATTCAGAAAACAGGTTAAGTGAATTAACACTTGTATACTAAAGTCGATTCTGTTTCAAATTAGGTTAAAAAACGAAAAAAAAATGTAATTAAAATAAAATTGTCTAAATATTTTATTTTATACAGCTTAAGTGTTTAATAAATGTCTTCTTTCTTATTTAACTTTGTACAAAATAATGTTATACTAAAATTCTTAACACCCCCCAAATAAAATGCCTGGGTGCGCCGTTTTCAAAATCCACATACTTTAATTTTAAGAATGATACCCTATACGACAATATAGCTATATAACTAATTTCTTATATTACAGAATAATAAGGATCCCTCCCAACAACAGAGGAATATCGTTCTTAAAGGTTGGTGTGTACCAGCCTCCTGTACAGCACTCGATCTTAAAAACCACCTCAACAAGTATCTAAGAACACTAGAGTTTCCCTTAAGAAAGTTAAATGTGTCTTACTCTTCACAAATAGAGGAAAGCAATTGTCAGAAAAAAGACGAAAATAATAATTTAGATCAAGCGGATATTTCATTTGGGTAAGTTTTTGGTGTTTTAGTGTTTTTTTTTTATACACGATTATATTCTTTAACGAGCAAGGAAATGAGCACGCCTTGCAAATCAAACACTATACTTTTTCTATGGCTATCCGTTTTTAATTAGTGTTTTTTTTTTGTGTGTCATCGGCTTCAACTGCTAAGGTTATTTCGCCTCGTATTCTGTGTGGGGTTTGTTACTGTTTCCCAGCGCCACTTTAGGAAAAAGTACTGTTAATTAGAACCCAACAGTGAATAGTCGAGTGGGGAATTCTAACCAAGGCATCAGAATTAATTTTAAAAATTAAATTAAATAAAAAAATCCCGGCCAACGGTGGGATTCGGAACTGGGAGCCTTGGATCCGCAGGCAGATACTCTACCACTGAGCCACCCACTCCCTTAATTAGTTTTTTAATTTATAAAATTAAAATGACCGCTCCCTTCTAGATCATTATTTAAAATTTAAAATTTCAAGGCACACATGGTTTTATTAAAATAATTTGGTAATGATTACTTTGTGTTATCAGAATTGTCAAATAAAGTTATGTACCTCATTTATAAATCAAGAATAGTTTAAAAAGCGTAGTCACAGCTTACCTACTACTTGTAGTAACGTGATCACTTACACCATAACTATCCTGCTATCTGTCTTTTTTTAATAATCCTTATTAACTACAGGTAAACACCTACTATTTCTTGCCTATTGGATATCTTATTTCATTGCAATATTACGTAATATTGTGAGGCAAATTTTAAATTTTTATATTAAAATCTATTATGGTATTATGGTAAACTAAATATTTTACTTCAATAACAAAAATCCGTTTAATTCGGCACCGACTTTTACCCCAAGCGAGAGAAAGATCGCACTATTCCATCTCGATGGTTCCCTAACGCCAGATCAAAGGGGCCGCTCGGAGTTATGGAGCTGCATGATACTATAAAATAAGGCTGGTAATCGTAACCGGTTAACTGGTTAACCGGTTCCGTAGGACCAAAAAACCGTTAAAGAACGTAACAGGTTTAACCGTAACCGGTTTAACCGCAACCGGCGTAACTCTAATCGAACCGGTTAAACCTGTCACTTGTTAAGCCGTAACTGGTTTAACCGTACCTGAAACCGGTTTAAACGAACAAGTATAGTTTGTTTAAGCTCTTAGTAGGGATGCGCATATTCTTAAAACGTCGATACTGACATCGAATGATATACCAAAAACAAAGTATCGATGGCATTAAAATGACCGAAGTGAAAAAAAAAACAATATTTATAAACATCGATATTTGTAAAACTATACATTTAAAAGTAAGTAAAACAAAATGAGACCATTTATTTTATAAATACGAACAAATATAAATGTAATAATAAAACAAAGCAAAACTAAGAAAATTATTATTTTTTAATAAATTTACATCACAGTTGTCTAAAATATGCTTCAAATTAAAATTTTTCATAAAAATTTATGTTTTTTTTTTTAATTGTGACCGATGTTGAAGAATGGAAAATATCGAATAAATCATCGATATCGATCGATGTTAAACCGCCGAATCCAGACCGGATTCGGCGGTTTAACACCTGGATGGTTAGACCAACCGATCCAGTTCGACTGGCTCGGTTTGATCGAAACTGGATAATCGGACTGGTTAACCGGATAATATGACCGGTTGACCGGATAATAGGACCGGTTAATCGGATATCCGGACCGTTTAACCAGATATCCGGACCGCTTAACCGGATAATCGGACCGGTTAAGACCGGTTATAATAATAGTAAAAATCCGGTTAAAACCGAAACCGGTTAAAACCGAAACCGGTCAAAATCAGTCGAACCGGTTAACCGTTTATCACGTCAGAAATTGACAACCTTACTATAAAATGAAGGTGTAATATTGTACCGATTGATACTACGCCACGTGGTTGGAAGGCGTGGCGTTTACCAATTTGAAGTACAGTCTGTTCGCTATACTTACGCGGGTTTCGGATTAAAAATTTTATGAGTATTTCCAGGTAAGTACCCGAAAGTTTGACCTGTTCTTTGGGAAAATATCAACTGGTTAAATGAAATGAAAAATAATGTATAACTTTTTAATTAAATAATAATGGAGAATCATAATTGAGAATTAAACTTCTTTATTAATGGAATCTAATGTGGCTATTATAAACCTAATAATAATTTTATATTACACTTCACACAGAAAATATGGTCTATGTATAATAAGAAAATATTAGAAAATATTTTCTAACATAAAAATTTGTTCCATGTACCTAGAGAATTTCAAATGAAAAATAAAAAAATTGAACTTGCCAACAAAAATGAAAATCAGTCATTATCATCCAAAATATCATAATCGTCATCGTCATCATCATCACTGTCATCACCATTAATTGTTATTATGATTGGACTTATTTCGTTTATTTTATTTTCACGAGACCACCAATCTTTTATTAGTTTCTCTCACTTGGATATACAGTTCCGCCACACTTCTGGAGTTGCAATTGAAAGTGCTTTTCGCCAAGTTTCCCGAAATGCGTCGTCACTATAACCATTAGACCCAATATGGTTGTCATAATATTGTTTTGCTATTCCCCATATATATTCGATGGTATTAAACTGGCAATGATACGGTGGCAAACGTAAAACTTGATAACCGTAACTTTCAATAATCTGATCCACAACAAAGGTTTTTGGTTTTTCGTGTATATTTGCCAAGCGTAATAATTCTAATTTTAATATATATTGAGGAAATGGTATATGTTCCTTTTTCAACCATTCTTTAATTTTATCAACAGTCCAACAATTTGTTGGACTTTTGTTTAATACTTCAGAATGGTAAAGTGCATTGTCTAAAATAATTACGCTGGGCTCACTTAAACCTGGGAGAAGTTTTTCATGCAACCATTTTACAAACATTTTTGTGTTCATATTATCGTGATAGTCACTGGATTTTGATTTAGATAAAAATATTAAATCAGTACCTTCTATAAAACCCGATTTCCCTCCTGCATGTAAAATTATGTGTCGCTTCCCTTCTCCATCGGTATATTTGATGGACTTTACGTTATCATCTTGCCATATTCTCTTGGTTGCACCCCTAGAAAATATCCATGTTTCGTCTAAATATATAAAGTTCGCCCCTTCTTCTTTAAATTTAGAATATTTTCTTAGAAAGTGAATTCTCTTGTGCACGACAGAACTTCTTTCACAAAGGGCCTTTCTGTTATCCTCCTTTTGAAATTTGAAACCGAAGTTATGTATCACTTGCCATAGACTTGTTCTGCCAATGTCGTCAAATTTTCTATCTATTAATTTCGAGAGAATTGTATTTAAGGTCACATGTTCCTTGTTGGCCCTCATTCGATAAATGGTATCACGAATTTCAAATTTCTTGCCATCTGGAATATCTTTCGTTTTCAATGATGGGCGAGTTTTGCGGTGATCTTCTTTCGGCAGTTCACTATTGTGATTTTGTAATACTCCTCTTAATTTGGTTTCACTAATTCCTAGAGCATCGCATACGCGTTGTTGTACAGACATTACCGATTTTAAAGGACCGATATTTTCTTTTTCATCCGTAAAATACTTATGTACACTACAAATTAGACTATCTACATCTAACACACGTCTAGGCACTTTTAAAATTTCCACTAAATTTACAATATACATACAATGTCAACACTTGCAAAGAATCAATTCAACTGCAATATTTGTAACAAATTTAGTACCTACCCTAATGTTATTTTAATTTAAATCTGAACATTAGGGCAATTTTACCTAATTTCTTGGGAAGAGGCTTATTGGAACTGGTTGTCAATGACTAATTTGCATAATTTTGTTAATCCGAAACCCGCGTAAGTATAGCGAACAGACTGTAATAGCAATAGCTAATCGAAAACAGCGCTCGGAAATAAATCTTAACCTAATCATGGCCAATCAGATCAGAGCAATATTCCACACCACAATACGTCATGGGCGAACTCGACGAGATTTTGTCGGCTAAGTATCATACCTTTGTAATTTTTTGCATCATGGTGGAGCTGTATCACAGAATAGGTATGATGTGTCTGTAAGTAGGTAAGCTGTGGTGTAGTTTTGTATTATAGCCGTAGAAAAAGATTTTTGTGAAAATTACCCTGTATATAAAGAGGCATCCAAGTAGGATTGGTTGAAATAGTACTAATAATTATCGTAAGCTTGGCACTAATGCCGGTTACTGAATTATTCCCAAAAATGTTTTTAAGTAAATAATTAATTTGACTTTTTTTAGATTAGTTTGTGTAATACTAATTCTAATGGTATTTTTATCTACACTATACGATCACTTGAGGAATTACTCCAATGACAAATTAGTAGAAAGTAAGTAAATTGTGATATTTTATAAATATAAAAAATAATTATTGCAAATATTTCGAATAAAACAATTTTTGGTTTGTTTTATGTCAAAAAATAATAATTATGATATAAAACTAATTGAGAATCTTTTTAAAGCCATTTAAATGCAGGGTGTCTCGAAAAGGTATGAACAGAACGTTAGCAAACATTCACAAGGCTAAAATATGAGGATCTAGAACAATTTATCTTACTCCAAAAGGTGATAGTTTCGTTGTTTACAGGTGTAAAAAATACTATCTCGTTAAGAGTTCCCCATGAAAAGTAATCCATAGGCGTTAAACCCGGTGAGCGGTGTTTCCAATTTGCAGGAGTATTATTTTCTCTGTCGATTCATCAATTTTGAAAGTTCTCACTTAATGCTATGTGTTGGGGTGCACCAGAATGCATGAACCACATATTTTATCAAGTAGTCAGTATAGAAGATTAACCAAAGTATTCAAAGGGCCAATCTCCATTTTTGCTGCTTTAGAAATATAACCATCATCAAAATGCACCTATAGTTAATGGTAATAATTTTGCCAATCCTAAAGTAAGGCTTATATCCAAATTAGCTTAAAGCTAAAAGAGCCAAAGTACACACAGAACTATGCGGTTTCATCTACTTGTTATTCAGAATAGATCTGAAAAGGTAGAGATGGGTAAGGCCACATGGCACACAGTTCTAATTAAAATCTACTTGTTATTTAAAAATAGCTAATCTCCTTTAAGCGTGGAGATTGTCCCTAAATGCGACCGTCTTAACTTAGCCCTAAAACAGAAAAACAACTGAGTAGTATATAAGGAGAAGATAAAAATCGATTTAGAGAACCATTTGGATTTGACTAAAAAAACGAATGGAAGCAATCTCAATTTATTAAAACGGCCAATCTTCATCTAATTCATCAAATACTAAAAACTGATTCAAAACATTCACTGTAATACTACTACTATTTTTTTAAAGTATGTATTTAATTCACCCCACAAAAATACTGAAATTAATTTATGAATTTGTCAAAACAATAAAAATGGAGATTGTCCTTAGGGGGCGTCCATTAATTACGTGAGGTATTTTTGAGGATTTTTTGACTCCCCCTCCCCCTCCCCCCTGGCGAGATTTGGTAAGATTTTCCTTAACTCCCTCCCCCCCCCCCCCCCCTTCCCTAATCTCGCGTGAGATTTTTCAAGATTCGTGTTTTGGGTGTAAATGTGTTGGATTATTAAAAAAAAAAAAAACAAAAACACAATATGTTCCATTACTTTTATTTAAGACTAGCAAAGACTAGTGTTTGAGAGTGTTGCAATTATTTAAAATCACATTAATAAAATTAAATGATAAATACTTAAATGGAAATTAATAAAAAATAAATAAACATAATTATAAGATTTTTCCATATTTTATTCTAGAAATACTTTTACTATAATTTAACTTTACTTTCACGCAATTTTACACCGTTTTCTACTAGAAAAAATATTACGTGAGATTTACGAAAACCCCCCCTCTCCCCCAAGTGAGATTTAGAAAGATTTAGTTTTATCCCCTCCCCCCCTTGAACACCTCACGTAATTAATGGACGCCCCCTTAGGTATTAGGGTAAATATTTAATAAAAAAGGAAAAAAAAATAATAACTTTGTCAGCCTGAATTTTGGAAACTTTTAGATTTAGACAAAGGTAAATAGGGCTACATCTTTATGTTTTAGCTTCATGAATTTTTGCTATTCAAATTTCTTGAATCAGTCCTAAGCCTGGATATAACGATTTTTAGTGCGCAATAAAATATTTAAATTTTATTTTGTCAGAAACGGCTGCTCGTAACGACACCTCGTCCTACTAAGTATACCTTTTTTGAACAAAAGATGCCAATGAATAAGAATTGCCAACTATAAATTTAATATACTGAGGCTCAATAAAGTTATGAATCTTTAGATGTAGGCGAAGTTCGGTTAGTGGTGCCCTCTGCAATGTACATCGAAACTGTGATCAAATCTCAATTTCTCATCCTAAAAAAAACCTTGTAAGAAATTTCCAGCAAATCATGCTATTAAGATAAATATCTTCAAACAAGTATAAAAAAATACTTTGACACCCTGCATTTTGGTAAATTGAGCTTGATCTTATTTTAGCCTCATGAATTTGTATTTGCGTTATTTAAAACCCCTTTTTGGGACACCCTGTATATCTAATGCTCTTCACATTACTCTTACATTATTTTTGTAATTTTTATGATTAAAAATTGAAAATATTAGTTTAATCTTTTTATGCTACAGGTATCTTGCATAGTATTTTTTTAAGACCGACCAAAAAGTATACACTTTCTAAACAATTTTTTTCCAGACAGTAACGTTATGCCGAACAAGACCGGAAAGTAGACCTTAGGGACCGGTAATAGTATATTACATTACGGGTGTGAAAAATCACTTTTCACACAAGTAATGTACAATATTTTTCCTACGACCACAAAATAATTTTATCAAAAAATGTAAAACCAGGTTATTATTATAATAATTAAAATGTATTTAAAAAAATAATCAACAATAATCGTATTTATTCAATTTTCATATTTTCTAAACAAATAAAAAAAATTAAACAAAAAAAATTTGGCAAAGCCAGGATTTGAACGCGGTCGCTCGACGGTCTCAAATTGCAAAGTTGACGCTCTAACCAACTGAGCTAACAGGCCTTACGGTAATTGATTGATCTAATCGCTTATGTGTTTAACTAGAATAAAAAGCAAATATATCTTAGTTATTTTAAAATTATTTTAATAATTATTATTAAAGATAAATATCTAGGATCTAATATACAACAATTTCAATAACTTATTATGTGTTTGACATTTTCTGACAGCTACTGCGGAAAGTAGCATATTCGTCATAGACATCTATCTATCCGATATCTTTGATATTCGTACACGGGTGGAAAGTAAATTTTTATTCATACGCGTGTGATATAGGGACTTTGCATAGGACTATATAGTGTGATATGTGTCAGTTTCCTAAGTAGTCGTAGAAAAAAGCTTTTTCCGTTTTTCCGATCGCTGTTTGATAATACAGTCTGCCTTGATTTCGTTACTATGGTAACAACATTCCGATTTATTGTCAAGTGACAGTTCGTTGATTTTTAATTTGTTGTTTATGTCAAACTTGTTTTCGTAAATTTAAAAATATGGATTCAGATTTTGAATTATCTGACATAGAAAATGAAATTCCAGAAGAAATTTTGAAAGCAGTAAAACTGTACATTTAACATAAATATTCAAAAATAATGTATTTGGTTAGTTTATGCAGTTGTATCCATTATATAGTTTTAGTATTTGTTAATCACTTTATTTAATAAAATAAATAATTGAGTTTACATCGAATTGTCGGTCTTAAAAAAAAAATAATGTACCGTCACGCGACTGAAAATTAGGGTTAAACAGGTCTCTCCGAGCTTCCAGGTCTCGACTACGGCTCGCTCTGGAATCTGCTTGTCTCGACCTGTAAAACACTACTTTCCGGTCTTGTAACCTAAATTACTATTATTCATTTGTTAATTTTATTATGGTTTCTTGTACTTAAGAGACCGACAATAAAGTAATGAGACCGTGATATAAGGAGAAAGGCTATGAAGACTTATGCATAACATGCTAGTTATATTAGGTCAAAGGTAAAAGTCAATTAGAAGACAAAGGTGTAGACTAGATTGCCCACATCTGTGTGATCCTATAACTTTTGTTAGTGACACCTCCTGTAGAAGTAGCAAATTTGTTTCTTTTTTGTGTCAGAATGCATTTACAAGATTAATCAGTTTTTGTAATAACCTAATTTACTACTAAATTGTGTTTAATCCTAATTATTAACATATTCTGCATAATATTTTGATATTGTGGCTCGTAACACTAATCTGCTTTATCACCATCGCTTCACTTACACAAACTTTTGACTCTTTTAAGGATAATCACTAGTTCTGATTGTCTAAAAATTTGAGTACTGCAATGTTGATGCGTTTATGGAGCATCTCTCATGTCTCTTGACTATTTTCTTTATTAAATCAAATCTCCAAAAATATTTTTGTGATTCGAAGAAGACAATATTATTTTAATATTTTTATTTGGAGACCAGCTTCAATTAAGTATAAAACTCCTTGCATATTGATCATTAAAGAATTAGTATTATACCAGAAAGTTCTTTCAGTGTCATTAATTCTTCAATAAGTTTAACACCTTTGTTTAAAGTTCTTAACTATCTTTAATATTACGAGATACGGCTAAATTACGGGCCAATATTGTTAAATAATATTAACTTTAAATAACTTTTTTTTATCAACTTATGTGCGAACTCAACACGTAACGAATTAAATAGAGAGAGACATTACATAAGAATCGCATTCTGTGGAACAAAGATAGTCGTCTCAGCACGTGTCGTATTGAAAGATGAAAATCACAATGCTGAGGTGCTCAAACGATCGATTACAGGTCGATAGCGAGTGCTTTTTGAGACGATCTCGAGAAAAATTTATTACTGCTACTTAAATGTCTTAAACACACCTTATTTAAAAAATAATAACACTTAACACAACACTTACTTTAAATTTCTCACTAAAAGGGAAATATGGAGTTATGTGGAGTTAATATCGAAAAGTAGCAAAAACCGAAAGGTAAGTAATTATCAAATATTTTGGGCGAATTCGAAAGACGTTTTTATGATTTCAGTAAATTGACAAATATCGCATTTCTTATTAGTTATCTTTTTTCGTGTAAAAACATTTAGGTATCTGCTACTGAAATAGCAAGTCAGTTTAAACTAATCTTCTGTTGAAAATGAGGTAGTGTAGATTATATCAGATATACATCTATCTCAAAGCCACAGCATCTGATAAAAAATTACTTGTACTAGTCTACGTTTTCTGGAATGAAGATAATTAAGTCAAAATATCGCAATCGACTAACTGACGAACATATCTGAATCTGTAACGTGTGGATAGTGGGTTACTCCCACGGCACTTAGGCCTCACTAGGCCCATTGTGTATCCTCCTAAGATGATATGCACCTCCTAGCTCGTGAGCCAGTCTACAGATTTAATGTAGTTGACAACATCGCCAAGAGGTGGAGATGGTTTCGTACTTGGCAATGACCAGTCAGAATGCCTGTGACTAGGCGCAGATTCTGTCTAGTCATAGTCAAGTATTTGTTTGCTGCCGTGTTATCGGGATAACTTAAGAGCTCCCTGGCAACTCTGCAGTTTCTTGTTTCATCCCATCTTTCCTTGAATTTCACAAGGGAATCTTCTTTGATTAGGTCTGTCACTACCGATTTTGTCAGGCCCATAGAAGGGCCAGGTCCAAAAAGTATTTGTTTGGCTGCTTTCTTGGCTGGTGAATCAGCAAGACGGTTACCATTCGATGTGGCGTGACCTTTGATACATCTTAAGGTGACCACATTGTTGATGGATACTTCGGCTAAAGCTTCGTAACATTCTAGTACTAACCCTGAGTAAATTCGTGGTCTATTCAGGGTGAGTAGTGCTTGTCTGCTATCTGTATAGATGAACATGTTTCTTACAGTGATATTGTTTCTGGTTATTTATTTTGCTGCTATGAGAATCCCCGTTAGCTCTGTTTGAACTACAATGGCACTATTGCTCACAGCCCATTTTATGTTTAGGTTTAACAATCTGGAATACAGGGTGTTTATTAAGTACTTGTACAAACTTTAAATGGTGAATCTTTGACTTATTTTAAGGCAAAACGTTCATATGAACACATGTCCTAAACCTCTTAACTTTTGAGCTACAGGGTGGTAAAGTTTTCAGAAAAAATTTTTTTTTTCTAATAACTGTAAGAATATTACAGATATTTTTACGAAATTTGGTACACGTCTCCTACGCATTATGATGCATTTTTTAATGTACAAATAATTTTATTATTTCTACCAGTGGCGCCCGTACGGGTTTCGTATTAAATATTTTTGCCGAAAAAAATAGTACGCCACTGCTTCATCTTAAAATAACAAATATTTTTGTAATTCTCATTTAGTTTTGAGCAAATTTGGTGTGATGAGTTTTTCTCCGACGCATAGTTTTCGCCCGACGCATAGTATTCTGCATGGAACAAGTGAAAAATGTATCTTTTATTGATCAATATTGTTATGTGATAAACTTAGATTATTTACAGACTAAGACTAAACTACTTTTACAAATAAGTTAATAACATTTACAACAATTGCTGAAAATGCCCGCCGCCTACTGCAACGCATGCGTCAATTCACCTTAACATTGATTGACGTACTCTTTCGAATATACCTGGTGTCTGATTAATAATGGCACACGATTCAAATATCCTGTTTCTTAGATCTTTCTCATTTTGAACGGATGTTTTGTAAACTAGTGTCTTTAAGTGACCCCACAGAAAAAAATCCAGAGGATTTAAATCTGGTAATCTGGGAGGCCAGGCTTGCGATCCCGCTCTTCCTATCCAACGATTAGGATAATTCTCGTTCAGAAATTGACGTGCAGCCAAACAAAAGTGTGCCGGTGCGCCATCGTGCATGAACCACATCCTGTTTCTGGTAGCCAAATCAATTTCTTCTAAATGTTCAGGGAGCTCGTGCTCCAAAAATCTTCTGTACTCTTCGCCATTTAGCCTTTGTGAAAGAATGCAAGGTCCAATAAGGTGATCGCCGATAATTCCGACCCAAATATTTAGAGAAAAACGATCTTGGAAATTATTTTCTATGATAGCATTGGGATTATCCTCAGACCAGATATGGTTGTTGTGGAATTTCATGATGGCGTTTCGAGAAAAAGAAGCTTCGTCTGTAACAAGTACATGGCCTAAGAAATCCGGGGTTGTTAATAATTTATTTCGCAGACAAACGCAGAAATCTACTCTGAGAGGAAAATCTCTAGGTAGTAATGCCTGTACAAGTTGAATATGATAAGGAATAAAGTTGTTGAGATTTTAAAATTTGCCACACAATTGTACGAGTAATATTCAATTCATGAGCAATTTTCCTTGTACTAGTTTGTGGGTCTTCTTCAATTCTATTTAATGCAGCTTCTTCAATTTCAACTGTTCGAACTGTCGCAGGCCTTCCTGGGATATCAATTGTTCTTTTAAAGCTGCCAGTTTCACAAAGTCTTGCGTGAATATTAATGAAAGTTTGGACATGTGGAAGCACCCGTTGAGGAAATCGGGCTTTATACATTCTTTTTGCAGCTTGTGCATTACCGTGAGCCATTCCGTAGACGAAATGAATGTCTGCCATTTCTGCATTGGTATATTCGTACATTTTGAACACAATAATAGACAATACATTTTTAAATGACAAAAACCATGATCTTTTTTTTAAATAAACTGTCATGACTGATTCCGCTACCATGGAAACCTCTCGGTTGTTTGCAAGGCTTTCTATGCATGTATGTACAATTGTACATTTTAGTAATTTGACTCTGAAATAAAACGGATTTTATTTTTAAAAGCGTAAACTATGCATCGAACGAAAAAACTCAAGAGATTAAATTTGTTTAAAAATAAATGAGGATTTCAAAAATAATTTTTGTTTTAAGATGAAGCAGTGGCATACTATTTTTTTCTGCAAAAATATTCAATACAAACCCCGTAGGTATGGACGCCACTGGTAGAAAACATAAATTTGTACATCAAAAAATGCATCTTAATGCATAGTATACGTGTACCAAATTTCGTAAAGATATCTACAATAGTCTCATAGTTATTGGAAAAAATAGATTTTTTTCTGAAAACTTTACCACCCTGTAGCACAAAAGTTAAGAGGTTTAGGACACGTGTTCACATGAACTTTTTGCCTTAAAATTAGTCAAAGATTCACTATTTAAAGTTTGTACAAGTACTTTATAAACACCCTGTATATTCCACATCCTGAGCCTTGTTTTGTTTTAGAACCGTCGGTGTAGATATGAATCGTACCTGCCACTTCCGGCTCTTCTATTTGTTCTATTATAACTTTATATGGCTTATGGAAGATATGTCTCAGTGAGATGGAGTTCATGTTCGTTTGAAACAGTGGGAGCATATCGAGCGCCTCCTGCCAAAAGCGACGTCTCGCCTCATCATATCCTACATCAGGTTCTATTCCAACCGTGCGGAGGCATGTCATTGTCGTCAGAGCAACCTCCTTGATGTAAATATCAAGGAGAGTGAGAAGTAAGAATGACTTCCATGGCTCTGGTCGGTGTTGTTTTTATGGCTCCTCTTCTGTTGAGACATGCTGTTCTTTGAATTAGTTCTAATTAACGAATAGCTCTTAATTTTTGGGTTTTCGGTACCCAGACAACTGCAGCGTATGGTAGCATAGGTCTTATGATAGCCGTGTAAGTCTATGCGACGACTTTGGGGCAGAAACCCTAGGTGCGCCCCACGGTTCGGCGGCATCGTTCATAAGCAATGTATACTCTTTTAACTCTGTTTTCTAAATGCGAGTTCCATGTTAACTAGCTGTCAAAGGTGAGACCTAGGTACTTCACCTCTATTGAACTGACGAACATTCATCATGCTTGCGATTAGCACTCGGTAATTACGTACCATCTTATGAAAAGTATGCTGAGGACATGCAGTGCCACGCTCAACATCGAAAGTTGTTCTTTAGTTAAGTTTAGAAACTAGAACTCGTTTGTTTTGTAAGAACTAATAAACTCGCAATTTTGAAAAGTATGAGTTTTTTAATTGGCTTTTTAGAGCAAACCTACACCTACCCTCACTAAAAAAATGCATATTAGCGTTAGAATAATGGTTTTTAATAATAAAGTAATTGTTCTAAAATACTGAAAGTTTTTTTACCTATAGCTGTCATTGTGAACCCCCAATATTTTGGTCACAAGCGCCACCGAGTAAATGGTAAAACTAATCAACCTTTAACTTCTCTTTAATGTTTAAAACAAGTAAAAATTATTTTTTTTTTACATTTTTAGGATCTCCTATAACATCATTACTGCTCACCTTTTCATTAAAAGGCAATCTAAAAAAACTACCTTTTTGCGATGACACAAACCAAGCTTTGACAATTTTATATGGAATGAGAGTAATTTGTATATGCATGATCATTATGGATCATCGTTTTGGAACCCACCTAGCATCTGGAGTTTTGAATTTTGATATGGTAGAAAACGTAAGTACGGGAAGCTAAAACTTCAAACCTTGCAATTTTATTGGAATTATCTGCGCACTTAAAGCTTCCAAAGTGTATAGATTAAAAAATCTATATTAAACGTAGTATTAATTATTTCACAGATTTAGATTATTTTACAGCAATATAGGTCTCCTGTGGGCAGTATGTTTTTTCACGGCGACGTTTTCGTGGACTCGTTTTTCATTTTAAGTGGATTGCTAGGAACTTACTGCCTTCTTAGTCAATACGACAAAAGATTTATCAATCCAGGATTGCTAGTCTTCATGAGATATATCAGGTAACTAACTTTTTTTTTTATTAAATCTTTTGAATTTTTAAGTTTATATTTCCTGTTTTAGATTAACACCCGTATATGCCATGGTTATATTTTATTATGCAACTTATTTTAAATATTCCGGGAATGGTCCAATGTGGAAAACTATCATTTATCCAGAAGTAGAAGATTGTAGAAATAATTGGTGGACAAATTTGCTGTATATTAATAATTATGTCAATGTAGACAAAATAGTAAGTTTTATTCTTCTACAATCTACTTTAAAGTAGTTTCTATAATTTTTGTCAAAGAAACCCTTAAAAGTAAACTCTTGGAATTTTCGTTACCAGAAAGTTTATTTTAGAGATATAGAAGGGCCTTGCTAAGGACATTGTTTAGGATTAGCATAGTTATTGTAGTTAGTGTCTTCATCGCTCAATTTATTATAATCATAGCTACAAAATGTCCACGTCATGTAATAATTGAAAAGAAAATAAAAAGGTAGAATAAAAAGTTGAAACACATTCAACAACATTTTTGGTCCTTTAACGAATCGGATATTTACAGCATGTACATAAATTTGGTCATACAAGAAGTCGACCATCGTGGGGCTTATAAAAATTCAATAAGATTAGCAAGTTACCCGAGCTGGTATCTAATCTCAGTAAAGTGGCTGTAATTTGGTAGTATTTTCTTCATCATGGCGGAAAAAAGGGGTTTAAAACAAAAAGATGCTTTGATGTTTAAGATAAATGGGGTATTATTAAAGGCTGATCATTGCAAGGCCTGGTTGGATGAGAACACACATCCCAAACTATCCAAAAGCAGAAAAGCTATCTACAGAATTTGATGAGATTCAAACAGAACTAGAATTAATTACCATGGTCATTTATCAAGAACAAAGAACAATATTTGAAGATACTTATTAAGTTTTAGTAGCACAAGTAGATAAGATTATAGAAAAATCGTCATGTAAACCATCCGACTTCCAGAAATCAAATTGCCATCAATCAGTATTCCTCTATTCGATGGTAACCTTCACAAATGGGACAATTTTTTTGACTTGTTTCAATATCTCATTGATAATAATGCCTCTTTAACAACAATACAAAATAAAATAAAATAAATAAAAAACTCAAAGCCAGTATCACATAAATACGAGCGACCTTTTCCCTTCAGAAAACAACTACTCCTTTGGCTAATACCACTACAGGTATTGATTTATATCTAAAGAAAAGACGCAGAGATTGAAATTAAATTTCAACACTCCTCTCTACCTTTGATTTTGCTCACTAAGGAGAACGTCATTCTTGGACCGGTTTCGTCCTTATTAGGACTCTTCAAAAAGAAATAGATAGGTTCTCAATTCCAGTCTCTAATGGAAATAACAAATGCTGTACATCTCACTAGTAGTAGTACAATAATGTTAGTTACGAAGAGAATAAGAATTCAAGTAGTGAAATGGTGTCGCCATCTGTTCTTAGTAAGCAAAATCAAAGACCGCTAGTGGTACCCAGTTAGAAAACTAGGTGGAACCAAAAAGCCAGGCTGGCAATTTGTAAAAAGGAAAATAATTCCAACTCAAATATGACCAAGATGTAAAATAAAATAAATAAAACTCAAAGCCAGTATATGAAGGGAAACGGTTTCTGAGTTTTTATTTTATTTTACATCTTGGTAACATTTGAGTTGGAATTATTTTCCTTTTAACAATATTTAAAATCATCCGTAGAAGTTTAAAAATAATTTTTAATCTAAGTACTTCGGAAACAAATTACAAAGTAGCTTTAGATCTTTTGTACAATCGTTAACAAAATAAAAATAGAATCATCCTAAATCACATCACTTTTTGAATTACAGCCTGTTCAAAAAAAAAAAAAAGAATGCCATGAATTGAGACAATTTTTAGATACACGTAAAACACATGGTGATTTAACAGTATTAGGTTTGTCTGAAAAGTCAATTGTAGATTGGTTTTTAGTTTCCTCTTATCCACAAAATTAGACAAAACTACATTAAGACACTGGGAAACTAAAGTAGTTGAGAATCAGAATCTATCCACATTTGAACTCTTTTGTAGTTATTTAGGACAAGCTTAGTATTTACTTTTAAAATAAATCATTCTTAGTTTTCTTCCTTTATTATTTAAGATATTTTTTTAGTGTATGGTGCATTCATGGTACCTTCCATGTGACTTCCACTATTTCATGATCGCAGTAATTTTATGTATTATAATTTACAAGAACAAGAGGGCAGGGTTAATTATTCTGTCAATGGTAACGTTTGTATCTATTATCATACCTTTCCTCATAATTTACCTCTACCAACGATCAGCTGTGATATACTTTTATCCAGATTTTTTAAGAATGCCGAAACAGCAAGACGATTTTATAATAGCATATTCAAAATCACATGCAAGAGCGTCGCCATATTTTATCGGAATGATTGCTGGATATATATATTACAAAATGCGTGATTCGGAGAAATGTCTTAAAAAGGTAAGTGTTAATAGTTAAGGTTAATATACTTATGACCACTTTACAAAATTTTAAATTGTTTGATAAAATTTTTCCAAATCTATTTTTGGACATGAAAACTGTCATAGTTCGGATGTTGGGGCTGGCAATAGTATTTAAAAATAAATATAGATTAAATAAAAATCAACTTTTCGGCACATTTACAATAGATCTGACTTACAACGTTTTTGTATAAAAATCTTACCACCACCATTTCCTATAGGAAGATGGAGAGGGCGGCATCCCTAAAAAATCAGTTGAAATGTATGATTTTGTCTACATACATACCCAAAATTTCAATTTTTTTTTATTAATTTTTTCCAAAAATATTTTTGGACTTGAATTTATGACTTGATCTGTCATAATTCGGATAGGTATGTATGTAGAAAAAACATAGATTCCAACTGTTTTACTGAAAAAATTGTAACTTTGTTTTTTGATGGTGACGCCCTCTCTATATCAGCTAGGGGGTAGGGTGGGCAAAAATATTCTATGCGATTTTCATATTTTTGGGATAATACATCTATATACCAAGTTTGGTTTCAATTTCTCGACCTGAACTGCCCTAGCTTCAAGAGCCGAACCCCAACCCTACTTTACTAATGTTAAATTTTCTAACTTATATAATATTATTTTGTAATCTGTACCACATTACAATACAATAACAAAATAGAAAAATGTTTATGAAAAAATAAGTACCATCTAAGAGTCGTCTTTTCACTGTCATAACAATATTTTGTCTGCATAATAAACCAGATGCTAAAGGTGTAGGGTACAACACAAAATGACTTTCGGGAAGGTTCATTTATAATATTTTATAAAGATTATTTAAACTTCAAATACCTGTTCAATAGGTCTTCTGAACTAAAGTTGGAACTAAAGACAATTTTCGATATACAGGGTGAGTCGGGAGGAGCGCACTAAAATCTAGCATATTAACAAATAAACAAATTTACACATAAAACAAACACCATATTTGCATATTCTAAATCTGAATAAGTATCTGGCATTTTACAACACTAACAATCACATAAATTCGAAATTAAACGTTCAGTTACTGTTCTCTGTACACTGACAGTTCATCAAAACGTCAGAATTATCAAATGCCTTTGAGCCTTGAACATATGGCATACTTTGATAATGTTAAAATTCAGAAGTGGAAAGCTAGATGAGCATTTTTAATTGCGCCAGAACTTGAAAACAAATGAAAATCGGATAAGAACATATGAGTTTTTTTACATTATTTTCACGTGTATAATATACTCCTAGAGTTTGGTGCGCTCCTCCCGACTCACCCTGTACATTCAGAGAGCCGTTCTATATATTATGTTTTTCTGCATTAAAATAATAGCTCCATTTGGAGGAATTACCATTTTGGTATTTTAGTCTCTCATTGGTAAAAAATGCAATTTGTTTTATTTGAATGACAAGTATTTTTTTGTGTCATCGACATCAACTACTAAGGTTGTTAGCCTCATGTTATGTGTAAGCTTTATCACGGTTTCTCAACGCCACTTTAGGAACTGGCACTGTGAATTAGAACCTGTGTATAGGATTAATAATTAAATAATTAAATTAAATAAAAATCCCGTCACCGCGGGATTAGAACCCAGGACCCTTGGATCGAAAGTCTAGACTCTAACCACTGAGCCACCCCCTTGAATAGTTATTTTAAATATTTTTTAATAGTACACGTGAATAAGCAAGAATAAAAATTTATAATGAGCTGATATTTTCTGAATCGACAGTTAATGTGGGTGACAATACATCATCAAAAATTCCCATCCCTAACTGGTAAGCGTCGTCCCTTATAATGAAATGTTCTACCACAAACATAAAAGTATTGAAAAATGTTTCAAATTAAATTTTATGTGGAACATATTCCATAAGTCATTCGCAGATTGTTAAAGATGTTTACGTTAATTGACCGCAAACTTAGAGGTAGGTAACAAAAACGTTTCTGGATGGCAACACAATACTTTTCCAGCCTTAGTAATATTCTGTTTTGTAGCATTCAGCTTGTTAAAGGAATTAACAAGTTTTCCAAAATAATGCAAAATGAAATAAGAACCAAAAATAGTCATTAGCGAGACGTCTCTTTTGGTAGAGAGCACAACTCCCTGGACAGACCACGAATTTACTCAGAGTTAGTACTAGAATGTCACGAAGCTTTGGCCGAAGTATCCATCAACAATGTGGTCACCTTAAGATGGATCAAAGGTCACGCCACATTGAAAGATAACCTCCTTGCTGATTCACTAATCAAGAAGGCAGCCAACCAAATACTTCTTAAACCTGGCACTTCTATTGGACTGACAACATCGGAAGCGACAAACCTAAATACAGAACATTTCTTTGTGAAATTCAAGGAAAGATGGAATGAAATAAAAAGCTGCAGAGTTGCCAGGGAGCTTTTAAATTGACTATTAGACAGAATATGTGCCTGATCACAGGCATTCTGACTAGTCATTGCCAAGTACGGAAGCATATCTATTGCATGGACCTGTCAGGATCTGCACTCTGCGGCGGGTGCGAATAAGAAGATAAGACCATTGAGCATATCCTCTACGATTGCTCGACTGACGATTAGAAGATTTGTGTTCGGCGATAATTGCTAAAACCAGCCGATATAAGAGAAGCACCTCTTGGCGATAATGTTAACTACTTTAAATCTGTAGGCTGGCTCACGAGTTAGGAGGTGTCTATCAACTTAGGAGGATTCATAATGGCGTAGTGAGAGCTAAATGCAGTGCATTAGCCCACCCTTCACACGTTTTAGATACAGATAATCATTAGCGAACTAGTTTCCACACCACCAAGTCGGATAAATTTTTGCATATACTTTACTCCTGGCGATGAGACATTTTCAAGCTAGCTCTTCGTGAAGTTGTCGTTCTGGCATCCCTAAGGAAATTGATACATGTACCTGTAGTTTTAATGTGAATTGACGGTTTTTTATATTATATGAACGACACCACATTTATCGGACAAAAATCTCGTGGCTGTGAGGGAGTAAGAAACCCCTAACATATCGCTGTAGCGTCCCTAAGGAAGTTGATATATGTACGTGTAGTTTTAATGTTATTCGACGGTCTTTTATATAACAACGATATCACATTTGTCCAACAAAATTCACGTGGGTTTGGGTGGGTTCGACACCACCAACATGTCACTGTTGCGTCCATAAGAAAGTTGATAGATACATGTACGTTCGACAAAAATAATTATGAATAACAATGTAGTTATAAAACATATACAGTAAATGTCGGACAAATAAATTGAGTATTAACGTCAGTCGGACAATAAAAGCCAAAAAATAGTGTAACCACGTAGCATACTCCATATATAATAATGTAACCCATGCTTTGATTGTTATTAGTATAATTTCTATTATTTGGGATATCGGTATTTTTTGTTGTACAGTATACCTCTTGGAAGTTGGAACCATATGGAAAACTGTTTTATTATTGGTTTTGTGTAAAAATGTATTGATAGAAAGTTCTGCATGCTCCAAAACTTAAAATACAACCATCAGATATCAATTTTTTTTAAGCCGTATACGAGGTTTGTCAAAAAATATTAATTTTACTTACCTAAGAGTGCCTTTATTTTTTATAATACACAAGAATTATAAAGTAAAATTATTTTGATTTAAAAGATAATCAATTATGCAATTACCAGTTATTAAGCATGAAAATTCAGGTTATGTGATTATTTTCGTTTTACATTGTACCTAAATTATTTGTAGTTATAAATTAAATATTCACCAAACCTGAATTTTAATGCTAAATAGCTGTAATTACATATTTGAATATAACTTTTATTTCAAAATAACTTTATTCTATAACAGCCATACTCAACCTGCGGCCCTCCAAGCTTTTTTTTGTGGCCCGCAACACTATTATTGGTAGCAGCGCTAAATAGCATGCTAATTTTAAAATTAACGTTTAGCATTTTGTATGGTTACTGCAAAAACAAGATAATAGCTCCACTTTGGGAATTTTCGAGTTAAGTAGGTACACTTTCAACAAGTGTGAAAGAAGTCTATATTCATGATAAACAGATAGCCAATAAAAACTAACTCCATGTTAATACATTAACATTATGGACAAACAAGATGGAGTGGCATTGTGTTCAATTGATAAATGTGTCTACCAAAACCAGATAATAGGCATATAACTTATGTTTTTCTAAATACAGGGGTCGGCATAAGTCAGGCAAAAAATTTGCATAAAAAAAATGCAGCGTCAAAATTAATTTATTCGAAGAAATTACAAAGAGGATTCGAAAAAGGTTAGTTTAATTATTATTCAAATTGATGCCTATCTTGATCAATGCATTGACGGCAACGTTTTGCAACGGAGAAACAGGTCAGGCGAAGCATGTTAAGGTGTCCGCGAAGATTATCAAATTCTTCTTCAATTGCAGTTCGGAGCTCGGGAAGGGTGCGTGATCTTCTTGCAAAAACGCGGTCCTTGAGAAGGCCCCACATGAAGAAATCGCAGGGTGTTAGGTCACAGGACAGTGCGGGCCACTCAAAGATTCCTTGTCTTACTATCCATTCTCCAAAATGATCATTAGGGACTTCCGCACACATAATTCGTAGTGCGGCGAAGCTTCATCCTGCATGAAATGACGGATGTTCGCGAGTGTTGGATCGTTGTCCATTTGCCCACGTAAATCTTCGAGCATGCATTTCCTGATAACTTTGGCCAGACTTATGCCGATTTTTCGAGCGATGCCAGACCTATGCCGACCCCTGTATATTTAGTCCGATTCTAAAAGTGTTCCTGCCAAAACAAAATAAAGACCAGAACCAAGGGAAAACCAATAAGATCAAAACGTACCTGTATTTCGGAAATCACTTGAAAAATGTTTATGTAATTTAGGTAATTTTACTAAAAAACCACCTTAATTTTATACGATGATCTTTTTTCTCGCCATTTCGGGTTGTGAGCGACGAATTGATTTAGACCATGATTTTAGATGATGATTTTGGAATTTTCGAGAAAATGTGTAGTGATATCGGTGATTTCCAGTGAAAATGTACCAGTATTTCAGGAGTGGCTTGCCGCTACTTTGTTTGTTGAAATATTACAACATTGTGCCCACGCCATTTGTTTTGTTATGACTAGAGCCGTTTCTGACCTTTCTCGATTGTTCCGAAATCCACGACATGATTACGTCACCCTTTCTTTCCGCGATACAGCTAACTTTAAACAACCACTAGATAATAACACGTGATGTTAGAATCTCCGTGGTGAACGAGTGATTGGTCAAGATGTAACGGGTGATTGATCAAACTGTAACGAATTATTCGTCAAGCCGTAACGAGCGAATCTTTATGTGTAAATTCGTAAATAAAAGTATTAGTGGTAACAGGCAAATATTAATTTTAACCATATTTTCTAATAGACAACGCATCGAAAGATTTAGCTATCCTAAATACATTCCACCAGAAAAATAGATTTAATTTATCAATGGGCGCGGGTGGGGAGTTCGGCTTTATATGCCAAACTCGCACAGTATTTATTCAGAGAGATGCATGAAAGGATGAAACAAAGTTTTGAAAATACTTACAAAAAGTGCAAGAAGAAAGATTTACTAAAATTTTGCAAAATCAGATACACCTGATGAATTTCACCATTATTATCACCATCTACCTGTATCCAATAATTACTGAAACTTCGACTGAAGATAGTGACACATACATTGAATTATGATTTATATGTAGAGCTAAAATAAGCTAAGTTACGTTGTTTCTCTCTTTTTTACCAATTATTGATAGATTATTAGTTTATACTTTGTGAACAATGTTTTCAGTACCTTCTTCATTAAAGTTAATAAACGGTTTGAAGCTTTTACTTATTTTTTATTCAGTTTTAAACGTTTGAATAGTGTTTTATCGAAACTCTAAAAATGTGAGTTATCTTGTTTTTGCAGTAACACAACGGGATATATTTATGTTTTGTGTTTTATTTATTAGAGGTCCCCACTAACTAATTTTAGATAGATGTCCAAAAAAAAGGTACGTGTAACATGGCACATATACGAATGTAGTCCGAAGGAAAAAAAGGTTGAGTATGGCTGCTCTATAACAATCTTCTGTATTGTAAAAAATTAAGGTTATTTACTGCGGAGTAAAATTAATATTTTTTTGACAAACCTCGTATACGGATTTAAAAAATTGATATTTGATGGTTGCTTTTTAAGTTTTAGATCATGCAAAACTTTTTATCAAGAATAAATTTTTTCACAAAACCAATAATAAAAAAGTTTCCCACGTGGTTCCAACCTAAGTAGACACACACAAAAAAGATTAATGTTGCGGCGTTTGAAAGCTACAAACAATTTAATTTGCGACAATTTAATATGCGATTATATGTTGAAATTCGTTAGCGCATCAAAAAACATGATATAAACTTAATTCCAGCCTTGCACAAAAAATGTTCATTGGAAAGTGTAAGCCTATCGACTAATTATATAATAAAAAATACCGATAACCTAAATAATAAATAACAACAACAATAATAATAATAATCCCCACTCGACCATTCACTGTTGGGTTCTAATTAACAGTGCTGTTCCTGAAGTGGCGCTGGGAAACAGTAACAAAGCCTACACAGAACACGAGGCGAAATAACCTTAGCAGTTGAAGCCGATGACACACCAAAAAAAAAATAAAAAAACAATTAAAACGGGGTGAGCGGCTCAGTGGTAGAGTCTCTGCCTGCGGATCCAAGGGTCCCAGGTTCGAATCCCACCGTTGGCCGGGATTTTTTCATTTAATTATTTAAAATTAATTCTGATGCCTTGGTAGGATTCCCCACTCGACCATTCACTGCTGGGTACTAATTAACAGTGCTGTTCCTAAAGTGGCGCTCGGAAACAGTAACAAAGCCTACACAGAAAATGAGGCTAATAACCGTAGCAGTTGATGCCGATGACACAAAAAAAAATAATCAAAGCATGGGTTACATTATTATATATCGAGTAAGCTTTGTGGTTACACTATATTTTTGGATTTTTGTTGTCCGACTGACGTTAGTACTCAATTTTTTTGTCCAACATTTACTACAAATGTTTTAAATTAACACCCCCTTCAAATTCGCCCCAAAGCCAAGTGAATTTTGTCCGAAAAATGTCATATCGTTAATGTATTATAAAAACCAGTTGATTACCATTAAAACTATACGTATATGTATCAACTTCGTTAAGGGCGCCACAGCGATATTTTGGGGGTGTCGGACTCTCCCAAAGCCACGAGATTTTTGTCCGACAAATGTGATTTCGTTAATGTTATATAAAAAATTATCGATTAACATTAAAACTACACGTACATGTATCAACTTCCTTAGGGACGCCACAGCAACATGTTGAGGCCGTCGGACCCCCCAAAACCACGTGATTTTTGTCCGACAAATGTGATCTCGTTAATATAATATAAAAAACCGTCGATTCACATTACAACTACAGGTAGATGTATCAACTTCCTTAAGGACGCCAGAACGACAACTTCACGAAGAACTAACGCGGAATGTCCCATCGCCCAGGGTGAAGTATATGAAAAAATTTGTTCGACTTGGTGTTATGAAGCCGCTCAGGAAATTTGGCGTATACAGGAGTTACAAAATCTAAAAGTCGATGTATTGGGGACTAGTAGTATGGAACAAGATTCGAAGAGATCTTGGTTAGGTTAGGAGAATATTACTTGAAAGTTTCCTTTTTGCTTTTTTAAGTGCATCGTATTAAAAACATTGATCACAAGTCCCAGCAGTGATTACGGCTTGAGGGCGTGACCGAATTCACACAACTCTGGGCCCACTGAATGGAAGAATGCATGAGCTGAATGAATGGGAAGGAGTCAGCCATCTAAGCTTCAGAGGAGATAGAACAGGCTAGACCTAATTCCCCCTCAGGGGGAGCAGAGAAAGAGTGAAAAACGTACAGAAAAAGAAATGTGATATCTCGAAAACTCATTTTACCAGACTGAGTTAATATAGTTCTCATCGGACAATTAAATGGTATTTTTTTATAATTTTCAGACAATTATCATTCTGAAGTAAAACCCAAATTATCTCTTGTAAAAATACCGTTGGGTTAGATCGTTAGATTGCGTTATAATTACGTAAATAACTACTTAATGAACTCATGCACTTTAATAACATGTTAATTGATACTACCTAAATTGAAATAAGGAAGTTAATAATAAATGCATATCAATTCAAATATGCAGAAATGACTTAACGATTGATATAGTGTCCTTCGTTAATATAAGAACATAATAGTTTTTCTCATTCTAATTGATCTTTATATTGCTGTTTATATTGTGGTTACTCAACTCATAATTTCAAAAAGCATAATTTTTCATTTTTAAGTAGATTTTTTTACTTTAGGAATTATTAACGCTATTACAAATGTATTTATAAAATGTCATTAGTTATTGCTGTAGTGACTAAGAAGCTAAGTGCCAATTAAAACATTTTATTCTATAAATTCTTTAATATCCTTTTAATTTAATTTCTATTTTATTTGTTTTCTTATTACGGTAATAAAATATTTATTTTAATTTTTCTTTAAAGACTACAGCAAAACAAAGTTTCCTTGAAACGTCAAGAAGCATTTACTAGTTTTTCGACGTTATAGTTTGACTTTTTTACAAAAAGTATGCTATTGATAGCGGATTAAGTAAACGAGTGATCATCAGAAAATATTTTCAAAGTAGGTCAGGTTTGTGAGAACTGCAAACACCTCTGAATTAAAACCAAATTGATATTTAAAAACATCGACAGTCCAGCTGTAACTGAATACCCTGTATATTTCAAAGTATTTTAATATGCAATAAAGTAAACCCTATATCTTTTGTTTAAAATATTTTTTCGTATTTTCATTATAAGAAAGATATATAACAAATATTATAAAATCTAATGCTATTTTCCAGATTTACTCACACATCATTCTCCTAGGATCTCTAGTACTCATGATATCATCAATTCTAACCGGCGTGATCTTCTATGATCCTAAATATGAATACAGCCCTGTAGACTCTGCTCTATATGCAGCTATACACAGAGTTGCATGGTCAGTAGGAACCATAGGAGTTCTTTATGTAGCAAGTTATGGTCACGCAAAATTAATCTACAGCTTTTTGTCTTGGAAGCCGTGGGTTCCGATCAGCAAATTGGTGTATGGTGCCTACTTGACACATATGCAGTTCCAAATGAGGGCCGTCGCTCGAAAAGGTGGTTCAGACTCTATAACTTATTTTGACATTGTAAGTATGTAATTTTTATACATAAGCAGGCTTTAAATATATTTTATCTACGCCCATGAGATAAGAACTTCTTATCCCACTCATTTTGCGTGCGATAAGAAGTTTATTAACGCACGCGTTTTTCTTATCTCACTGCTTTTTTTATCTATAGTTTATCTATAGTTTAGTTTATCTATAGTGTTTCTATAGGTTTTCTATAGTTTATCTATACTATACCTATAGTAATTTATAATCCATTTGGGACACCTTCTAATCCTTTACTTGTCATAAAGTCATTTCGATTCCCTTTCTAACTATTAAACGTTTAGAGAAAATTCAGCAGTATGATTGTGAATAACTTTCATGTATGAGATTTACGTAACATTTTTTTCACAAGACGGGATTTTATACTGATGAATTCCCCACATTATTGTGTCACTAATACATTTTCAATCAAATATATATAAACATTTTTGACTTTGTAGGAATAGTAAAAAGCAAGTTTATTTTATTTTTTTAGATCAGCTATTCCTTATCAGATATTGTACTGGCATTTGCGGCAGCATTTGTATTATATCTAGCTGTGGAAGCACCTTTTAGGAATATTTTCACCTTACTTCTAGTGCCTTCAAAAAACAAGAAAAAGAAACCGAAACCGATTGAAAATCAAGAAAGTGTTAGTGAAGTTACCTGTGATAGTCATTTGTAAATGAAGCTCAATTAACGGCTTTTCTTAGATTAATAGAAAATATTTATTTTACATAATATTTAATAGAGAACTTAACTAAAAACGTTAGTAATGTATTTTTTACGAAATCAACGTTAATCTGAAATCGTGTGGTAGTATCTAAATATTAATTCAGAGATATTTCATTTATCAGTAATATAATAGAATCGTGCAAATTCAAAAATATTAATAAATTATTTGTTTTTCTTCACAACTGTGCTCTCAGTTAAATCTAAAATGTAACCATGAATTGTCACCTTATCTTTTAAAAATAAAAAAGTCTATGATCGATCAGAATGTAAATATATACTCAATCGCAAAATTAATCGGACACGAGGTGTTTCAGACAAATATGTATAACAAAAATTTAAATCAAAATAATTTCAATTTGTTTCAATTATATAAATAATAAACTTAGATCCAACTCTGGCAAACTAAAAATCGAATACGCTAAATTAGTGATGACGTAATTTTGGTTCCACTGACAATTACAGTGATAGTACTTTTTTGAGTGGGTTTTGTACGTTTTGTTTACCTAAATTATATTGTTTTTAAAATTTTATAAATGTATTTCTAGAGTAAGTAGATACTATGCATCAAGTATATAATAATTCAGTAACCAATTACATACATCAAACTACTTTTAAACGATATAAAAAATAAAAACAATAAAAACATATGAGGGAGAGGGTGGATGATTTGGCCAGTTTGTAGAAATTAACTCATAAAATCCATAGTTTTTGTTAAATATTGATAGTTTGTATTGCTACATAATCTTTAGACATTTTAAAGACTATTAAAAGCCAAAATATTGACATGAACGTATTTCCAGGATTTTGCGAAATAAATAAAAAATGTCAACAATTTGGTAGAATCCGGAGGCAGATTCGGACAGCACTAAGGTAGGTTCGGTCTATGTATAAATTAGTATAAAAGATATATGTTTATTGGCATATTATTTAGTACAGAAGTTGTACCTATAATCTAAATTTAGCAAGTAGACATTGAAACAAAAGTATTGTGAAGCAAAATATAAGCTTTAACGAACATCCATTCCTTGGAAATTATAACTGAATCAAAACAGTGATTGAGTTCGTCTTTATAAGTTATGACATTGTCCAGAAACATTTGCCAAAGCGTGCGGTACACTTCACGAAATTTCCGTTAGTCTGTATTGGTGCCATATTGGTGCCGACGTCAAGGAACGTTGAGTATCTACGGCACTCTGTACCGATACTGAAGACGGAAGTATCTGTTAGCGAGTTAAGCAACTGTGAAAATTGTTCCGTCGACATGGTAACATTACTAGGACCGGTATCTGCACCTCCTTTTGAATAATTAGACTTTTTGGGAACCATTTTTCATAAAATTTACGAAATTTATAAAACTAAGATTTTTCAGATAGTCCGGCAACAGCGCAGCGCACAATTACATTTGCTTTGAAAGTTCGAAACGTGGCAACGTCGAAGCTCCGGAGCGACAGTCCACGATTGACACTATTGACAGATGTCAATTCTGTAATTACCGTTCTATGACTCGGCGCGAATTTTGCAAATGACGCCTCGATTTGGCGCGAAATTTGTGAAGTTATTCGGAAAAATTTATATAAAAATGTAATTTACTAATTATTCACTAGCTACCTTATTATCTGTTAAAAAGGTCCTTTGGTACTTGCACTAGACAGTGATAGAAATACCGCAGTCAATGAAATTTAAGAGATTGATTGTTTTCCAAAACTATAAAGGTTGAATGATTCTGATAATAATAAATTGGATAGAACTCACCTAATACAGAATCACTAACAGATATTTTTGCACAAAATAGTTCTATTTTCACTTAATACACGTTTAAAAGTTCAGTTTTTGTTATGAATTCGCGAAAGTCTTGATTTTCGATAAGTTCGGCCTAACGTTGGGGTGCCAGTTTTGTAACAGGGACGTAGAATATGAAAACACTGCGCTTATTAAAAGAATTAAACTTCAATGCGTGAAATAAGAATATGAATAGAAGAAGTATGAATAATTATTTTGTATTGTCGATTAGTATCGATCTCGAATCGCGGTTCATCTCACTCTCCTTGTCTTGTAGTCTTGTCTGTCACTTGCTAGGCGGCAGCACCATGCAAGCACTGATGCTACTAACAGGAAACAGGGCCGGAACCAGGGGTCGTGTTACAATGTTTAACAATAAAAATTTGTTTACAAAATAAATTAAAATTTGATTTCATATTATTAAAAATCATCTTTGTTCAATAAGTTAAAAAAAACGAAGATAAGATAATTTGCGGTAAATGTCCGGTTGATTTGGTTAATTTAGCAATTGAGTATACATATTTTAATATCCTATTATACCAATATTCTGTACCTATTATGGAAGACCTACTGTTGTAGGACCCTTATATACCTACTATAAAATAAAAAGACTTCTTTTAGATTTTTATTTCTCTATTAAATATTATAGTAAACGTTCTAGTAATTACGTAATTATAGTAGTAGCATTAAATAATTATATTCACTATTAGATAGTAACGCTATCGTATGATAAACTAAAGTGAATGGTAACCCCCGAAATAAACTTTGCAGCCAGGGTTACCAACATTAAGCCTATATTGACCCGGAGAAAAAAAATGTAGAGAAAAAAGGGGAGAGGTTAATAAAAACCATGGGTATGATATAACGAAATCTCATCGAGTTCGCGCATGACGTATTGTGGTGTAGATTGGTCATGGACAGATTGAAATTTATTTTCGTGAGCTGTTTTTGATCAGCCGATACCTAAAATTCGTAAAAGGCACGCCTCCACACCACTTTACGTCACCGTGACGTATTATCAATCGGCGTGATATCATACCTTCTTTTTATAGTATCATGAATAAAAACTATGCTACAGAATATACATGATATGAAGGATAAGATTCGCACAATGTTAATAAGTGACAGGAGACAAAGAAAACATTTTGTAAAATCAACCGTTTTTTAACATTTAAATTTCTAAACCAAAGTCGTCTATATATTAATTAATAAATGCATAAGAGATAGCCAAATATCAGATCTACTTAACACGTAGACTTCCATGAGGAAAACGTTATATACCGCACCCAAATGTTAAGTTGGTGCACCGAGGCACATATGTTGTACTTTGTACCACACGTACTACTATCATTCTACTTTCTAAGGCTCACAAATGCCAACATTTCTTTCAGAAACCGATTATGCATGACACAGCAGGCCAGACGCGATAAAAAGCCGTTGAAAATTATTTTTGATTTGTATTTATTTCAAATTTCTATACCAGTAACTATGATTTTAATTATTATTTGAAACTAGGAGAAATAAAGAACATTTTAATTGAAATTATGTAAAAATTATAAACTGGAATGAAGATATATAATGCTGACATTCTGTATTACACTCTTCCCAGTTTAACAGACCTCCCTTAACCCCCATTTTCAATCAAATTTTTTTCAGAATCAATATTCTTTATCTCCTTGATTTTTAATAAAATTTTCATGTTGATACCGACTTTGGTTTTTGATTTCTATTTTTTCTACCCCCATTTTATTAATTTTTTTTAATCAATAGACTTTTTCCCCTTATAGAGCTTGATTTTTTTTTTTTAAATTACCAGTTGATATTATTTTTCGTTTTAGAGTTATGATTTTTTTAAATATTTCAACCCCCTCCCCCTTAATGCTCCATTTTTATTCAGATTTTTTCAGAATCAATAGGCTTCAGCTCCTTATAGAGCTTGATTTTTACTAAAATTTTCAAGTTGATATCATTTTTTTTTGTGTTAGGATTTTTTTAATATTTCAACACCCCCTTAAGCCCCCATTTTTATTTAGATTTTCTTTTAGTATCAATACACTTTGTCCCCTTATAGAGCTTGATTTTTTCTGAAATTATCAAGTTGATATTATTTTTCGGCTTTTGACTTATTGTGCGGACAAAAAACGTGACATCAGACGGACGGCCATTTTTAAAAGTTGTATAAAATTTGATGAAAAGGATTTTAGCACAAAAAATTAAAAATTTGTACCAATATTAAACCTATATTCTTCACAAACTACTGTGTGATGAGTATATAATAATGATAGCAAAATAACTTTTGTTAGAATGAAAGAAACACGTCACACATTGGCGTTTCTTACAGGTACGGCAATATCAAGTCGCTCTTGAGAGTTTTATTTTGAGCTACTTTCCATCTGTGCCTCAAGGTACCAATACTATGTATCTGTTTTGTAAAAAAAATATAGAAAATTATAATAGCAAATATTCCTGTAACCAATGAATACACTTACATAGATTTTAGACAAAACGTATACTTTGTTACGGTAGTGTCACATTTTTTATTCCTATTCCTAAGTTTTGAATTTCTTCAAACTGCTATCTGACAACTATACACATTTCTTGCTGAATTTCAGATGTCTCTTTACATTTTTATGAGATTGCTTTTCATACACTTTTATTTAATTCTGGAGTTTTTATAATTTTATTATCGTATGGGTTGAGTTATAATGTTTTTTCTTACTTATTGTACCTCTCTTTTTACCTGGTAGATACTATTAGTTAAGGACAACATAAAAATAATCTTGGTAGATAAAATACAGGATGAATCCTAAGTTGATACTTTTTTAACTGTCTATAGAAGTCTTTAAAATAAACTACTTTTTCTAATAACTTTTTTAAATAACTTTTTAAATAACTTTTTCAAATAACTTTTTCAAATAACTTTTTCAAATAACTTTTTCAAATAACTTTTTCAAATAACTTTTTCAAATAACTTTTTCAAATAACTTTTTTAAATAACTTTTTCAAATAACTTTTTCAAATAACTTTTTCAAATAACTTTTTTAAATAACTTTTTCAAATAACTTTTTTAAATAACTTTTTCAAATAACTTTTTCAAATAACTTTTTCAAATAACTGTTTCAAATAACTTTTTCAAATAACTTTTTCAGATAATCTTTTCAAATAACTTTTTCAGATAATCTTTTCAAATAACATTTCTTAAAAAATAAAAAATAAAGAACTTACCTTAATTTATTCCAAAATAAACGCACTTTAAGTCTTCTCGTATTAGTCATCCAACGTGTTCCCCACGATGTTCCAGTAAATTATCCGTATCCCTATAGCCCGTTTTAATAATCCAATTCAACGGAATATTAAAAGTTCTGGAACTCTCGTGTGCGGTGTAAAGC